CCGAGACATTAAATCATACACTAGGTTGTCCCTATTCTTGCCGTGGCGCTTATCAAATGGACAATCTATATCGATAGAGGTGGTTGGCGGGTGCTCTGGTGTGGTTTGCTCCTTCTTTCCTATCAAACATCTATTGTCCATGTCTCCCCTTCTTCTTTTTTATATTTGTTTCTCTCTTGTAACACCTCTAATCTTCGGGCGGTCATATGACCTTGTATGCAGTTGCGAGCGCCGTAAAACTTCTACTATAACTAAAACATATATCGTCCTTATATCTCCTTCTTTTTTGTGCTACCCTCTTGTAACACCTCTATTCTTCAGCACTTGTATGACCTTATTGTGTTGCAAATGCCGTAGAGCTGTTACTAAAACTTAAAAAAAAAACCCACCTGTATCGATAGCACTGTTAATCAAACACGTCAGCTGACTGACGTATTGTAGTGTGTGGCTTCGTGTGTTGTTCATTTACTGTAGAAGTGGCTGCGCGCCTGTCGCGTACCCCAGTGGCACATTTTGCATTTTGTAGTTTCTGGGTTTTTCTACAATTTGATTTTTGCGTTGAGTAGGTGGTTGGTGGGCTCTGCTCTTTTCTGCTTCTTGTAATGTAAAAGTTTCTGTTAACTGCCTACTTCTTGTAAATGTTTCTGTACACTGCCTACTTCTTGCGAGTGGTTTCAGGGCCCCGCTAGTAGGCCTTTTTTCAGTATTTTCCCTCTGTTGTTCCTCTCTGTTTGTCTGTCTCTTACCCCCCCCCACCCCGCCCAAGCACTAAATAATCATTATTGTGTCGATGTGCTTCTGTTTAGTCAAACAAAAACAGGTTTTTGTCTTGTTTTTTTTCCCCTCAACTCTAAGTGATTTGGCGTGCTTAAAAAAACCCCAACCAACTCAAACTCAAACTATTAGTGTTTCTATTACTGGTACTTTTTATGTGTTAGAAAAAGTCTTGCGGCTTTTGCAACTTGTTTAGGTCATATAAGTACCGAACATTAGAGGTATTACAAAAAAATAACAAACATGAAAAAGGTGAGATTAGGACGATAGATGTTTGATAGGAAAGAAGGAGCTAATCGCACCAGAGCACTCGCCAGCCACCCACTTTAATTTTGCGTGTTCCCAGTGAAATGAAGCTATTTCCGCGTGGCCTCCCTCAATGCTGACGACTTCCAATTCCTCAACCGTTTTCCCCTAGTGCATAGGTTGTTGTGTTACAGTACTGAGCAAGTGACAAAACTTGAACATAATCAAGAATAAAATTCGAGTGTACTTTAAATTCATGCGTCTTCCTGGATGGAGCGTTTGTAGCTGTTGTTATTTCTCTTTCTTGTGCTCTAATTTTATGTCATTGCGTCAGAGATCCATCAATAAATCACAACAAGCTTGTTACGTGGTGTCGCCATGTTCACGGCAGAAAGATGTCTTGTCTTCTTTCCCAGAATACTCGTGCTGTGTCTTACACACTAGTAGTACTTTTCGTACCGGGGATGAATGCCAAGTTGTAGCTGGTGCCTCCGATATAACTGTGCTGTGTTGAAAAGGTGTCTCTTAAACCCACACCACACGCAATGTCTTAGTTTTAGTAAGTGTTTGACGGCACTTGCAACACTATAGAGTCATATACAATTGCCGAAGATTAGATGTGTTACAAGAGAGTAACAAATATTTTTAAAGAAAGGAGGAGGAGAGATCAGGACGATAGGTGTATGGTAGGAACAAAGGAGCAAACCACACCAGAGCACCCACCAACCACCCATTCCAAGAAAAAAGAGCAATGTCTGTACTGGAGAGTCACGCCGGAGTTCTCATATTTCAAAAGCTGTCCACTCTCCCCGTGCAGGGGGAGAGGGAGGGGGAGGAGGTACGTGGCTGTGGCGGAGGGTGTCGGCCGGACGGTGGACACTGTCCGCTTGTCCACTCCTCTCTCAGACACCGCGTCAGAGACGCCTCTAACCCGATTCGCGTGAACCGGACGCCTCTAGAAAAACGGACTCGTCCCGGGAACCGGATATCTACCACGGTCAGGACTCGTCCCGGTAACCGGATATCTGCCACGGCGATGACTCCATCGGTAAACCGGATATCTACCACGGTGAGGACTCCTCCGGTAAACCGGACTTGCACCTTGTTAGACCCGCCTCGCATGACGGGTGCGGCGGGCGGCGGGAAGTTGGGCCCCACAAGAACCGCATTTGACTTTCTGTACGAGCAGCTGTACTCGGACACGGCGTCTGACCGGCGGCACCACAGTGATGTCGGGCCGGGCGGGCCGAGTCGGGGGTGCAGCTCTCACCTGCTGGCTCGCTCGCCTACTGACACCTCCTCAACTAACGGTTGTGGACAGCTCCGCCGAGATCGTGAGTTCCAGGAACGACATTTGCCTTTGTGCGGGCCGTGTTGTTGTGCCTGCCCGTGCCGTGCTGGCGTCGCCGCCTGTGGGGCTGGTGGGGTGGGCGGGATGTACAGCGCTGCTACTGCTACACGCGGCAGCGTTCAGAGGCAGAGAGTCGCTGTAGAGGAGTTTTCCCCTACGTCACGACGGGGGCATGATGCTGACGGCCAGGCTGAGCTGGGCTTACCGCTGGGATTCTTTAAGATATTTCTGTAAGTTTTGCAGGATGGTGGTTGGAGGATATCTCTGAGAGGTCACTACTGCTTCTTGGTCTTTCTGTAGGGTCTGTCAGTCTGCTGTGCGCGTTCTATAATAGACATGCCACACACCGCACCTGCAGAGGGTGCCTTTTCATATTGCACATCAAATTTCAAGTCTCCATTTCATACATGGGTGGTTGGTGGGTGCTCTGATGTGGTTTGTTCCTTCTTCCCTGTCAATCTTCTGTCGTCCCTATCTCTCCTTCTTATCTTCTTTCTTGTGTTTGTTACTCTCTTGTAACAACTCTATTCTTCAATAGCTCTTGTGCTGCCAACTCAAGGTCACTCGCCTCTTTGTGCCTCTCATGTGAAAGTACCTGGTTTGATTCTGGGTTCTTGGGGCATAGTGTGTGAAGGGAATAAGTCTTTTCTTTGTGAGTTTTTTTGGCTTGGTAGGGCCTTATTTACTCAGGCAGACTGAGAAACCTAGGTTTCCTGTGGATGTTCACAATGCCCTAGCTATTGAAAGTCGAATAAGAGCTTGCCCTGCCAAATTTATTTTGAATTTATCTTTGACAAAATCTGATCAGTATTAGGTAAGCAGGTAGTTGGCGGGTGCTCTGGTGTGGTTTGTTTCTTCTTTCCTATCGAACATCTATCATCCTGTTCTCTCTTTTTTTTGTTTTGTTTGTTACTCTCTTGTAACACCTTTAATCTTTGGCACTTATATGACCTTATTGTGTTGCAAGTGCCGTACTAAAACTAAAAAAGTGTTAGGTGAACTGGTGGTTGCTGGGTGCTCTTGTGTGGTTTGCTTCTTCTTTCCTATCGAACATCTATCACTCTGATCTCTCATCCTTTTTTGTTTGTTTAATACTCTCTTGTGACACCTTTTTGGCACTTATATGACCTTATTGTGTTGCAAGTGCCGTAAAGCTTTTACCAAAACTAAAAATTCTAGATAATGAAAGACAAAGATGCTGCGCACTGGTCGGGAAGTTTGTGTTCTCAACATTCGTGGCATTGTGAGTGGACAGGCCTTTGGACTTGCTGCCCCTGAGCTCTAGAAGGGGAACTTTGAAGAAGAGGTGTGCTGGAAGAAAGTGCCTCCGGAGTAACATTTTAATTTAGTACCACTCTCTGCTGTACTTTCAGAGCCAAAGAAACCCACCAGATCGCAGAGGCCAACCAAGAAAAGAACGCCAAGCTGAAGGAAGCGTTTGGCCTGACAGACTACGTGGAGGGGAGTGCGTTTGACCCAGACAGGAAGGCCAAGGAGGAGGCGGCTAAGGCAGCTGCCCTGGCACAAAAGAAGTACAGGTTGGTAGGCCAACAGGCCAACTCTGGATTTTTCTCTTGTGTTTTTCTGTACTACTGTTCTGCCATACGTTGGCAAAACACCCTTTTTATAAATCACAGTAGTTTCGAGAAAAACGGCGTTTTGTCAGCATAAACATTAAAGAAAAGACGTTCTTCCGAAATTGGAATTCTAATTTATTAAAAATAACTAGTCACAGTTTCACTGATTTTTTCACACAAGTAGTTAAGTAAGGTAAATGCTATTGATATTGATTTGGCAAATAATAAAATGTGGCACCAAGAATGAAAAAAAAAAAGGGGGGTTTGTCAGCTTAGGGCAGTATTGTAAGTTATCTTAGGACACAGCAACACATTTTTAAAGAATTTAAAATCTAAATGCAGGTAGGTCAGGTGGAGGGTGCCACTGGTAGGTCCTACTTCTTTACTTTCTCTCTTTGTTGTTTCAGTCTGTCTGCCTGACCTTTTCTCAGCACTAAATGACCATTGTTGCGTCGATGTGCTTCCCTTTACTCAAAGAAACAAAACAAACAAAATTTAAGCCCTGAATCTGAAAGCATGAGAAATGTTTGTATAATTGTAATAATATGAATCTTGGAAAATGCTTTAATGAGATTTACTTTGGGTCTTGTAGACACACCAAGATGACCACCCAGGTTCACCCGTTATTGAGGAGAAAAGTTGTCTTATTAGACTGGTGGCCTTGTTAGATATTGTCATTATAATAAATTAAAAAGAAATGCAAGGTGGGAAGAGGTTGTTAGTACAGGTGATTGTCTTGGACAGGTGGTCGTCAAGGCATGTTCTTCTTTATATTGAAAATTATGAAGTTACCTAATCTAGCGTAATGATATTGTTGATGAAAAGTTTAAATCTTGTGCTACATAGTTCATTGCATAACATCCAACAACAGGTTCAGATGTTGATTGTGGATGGTTTGCGGGTGCTCTGGTGTGGTCTGGTCCTTCTTTTTTATCAAACATCTATTGTTCCTTTTTTTGCATGTTTGTTACTCTCTTGTAAGTAAGGTGGATGGTTGAGGGGTGCTCTGGTGTGGTTTGCTTCTTTTTTCCTGTCTTCTTTATCTCCCCTCCTTCTTTTTTGCGTTTGTTACTCACTTGTAACACTTCTAATCTTCAGTCAGCACTTATTGTGTTGCTAATGCTGTAAAAGTCTTACTAAAACAAAATCTAAATGTTGATTGTTTCCATGTTCCAGCATGGTGCAAAGTTCTGATGAGGACGAGGCTAAAGCAGAGTCTTCACCGCCACAGAAGAAAAAGAAGAAAAAGTCCAGGTAGGAGGCCTTGAAACAAGCTCCATCTTTTACTGCCTTGTTATAGTTGGGGTCTTCCATGATGCAATGTAGTCCAGATATATGGTCGCTTTTAAGCACAGAAAAATGCTGTTCTGAGAAAATCAAAGGTAAAGTTTTTGGACCCTTATTCAGTTTCTTTTAAAAGACAAGGAGAGTTTCCTCTATAACCAAACAAATATACACACCAATGAAACCCAACTTCCCCTATAGATAGGGCAATGCCCACTTTTGGTGTCGGTCAAGATTTTTGGAAACCCCCGAAATCTGGGTTAGCCCGCTTGACCTTAAAAGCGACCATATGTGGAGCATGCTTACCTTGCACATTGAAACATCTGGTTGGAAGTTTTGTTTGTGGAGGTATAGTCAATCAGGTAACATGGACTTTTTTTTTCTTGGTTTTTTTTTTTTACACAATTGTCACTGATCCAGTGTTTAGCCTTTTCGGGTTGGGTAGTTAGAGGAACAATAGAGCCAACAAGTAAACACTATAAACACCACCATGTCATACCTAAGTTGGGCCCACAAAAACCTTCAGGTCTCTCCAGGTGAAACAAACTTATTTTAATGGAATTACATTTTCGACATCCCTCCTTGACCCATAAATACCTCCTATACGGACATGAAAACCCCTTTTTGTTTCGAGAGACCTGAAGAAAATATTTTAAATGCACTGATATGAAGAATTTGTTCTTCGTCGTTGATCCCAACGAACTTCTCGTTTTTTAAATGACCATTTATCTTTACAGTGAAATGTGAATAGATTTATTTTGAACGTGCAAATTGCTACTTTCAAAATCTTTTACTGTGTATTTCTAGATACTTCGACCCTTCTTACTTTGCAAAGCAAAACCCAAATCATGCTGTGAACTAACCTGAAAACAATTCGCTAGTTTTCCGACAGCTCATGAAACCTTATGCTGTTGCAAGCACCATAAAACTCTTACCGATTTGAAACTGGTCCAAATGAAGTTGTAAATTAATAGTTAGTTTAGTGCCTTTAGGAAAGCGTAAGTCATTGTTCTCTTATCTGTTTCTTGTTTTTTACGGCTTAAAGACTGGTGTGGCTTGAGGTAAGTTGTTTCTGGAACTAGAGAATTATGGGGTGCTTCAGAACAGACTGATAATTTCCTACTGGCTGATTTCTTATTGTGTAGGGCTTGTGTAGAAGAGGTTAATCAGTTCTTAAGTCTCTGTCGTCACACGCGCACACACACGCATACACACCCACGCTCACCCACGCATACACACCCACGCACACCCATGCGCACACCCACGCACACATGCAACACGCACAAACGCACGTGCATGCACACTCTCACGCACACTCACACACACACACACACGCATACACACACATGCGGGCACACACACACACATGCACACGCACACACACACACACACACACACACACACACACACACACACACACACACACACACACACACACACACACACACACACACACACATTATTAAAGAAGCTGTGGCAGGGATAGTGGTTTGATGGTGGGTGGTTTAATGTGTGTGTTCCACTACTTCTACTGTTTCTCAGTGAAAAGGGGAAGACAAGCTCCTTCTTTCCTATCAAACATCTATCGTCTTTATCTCCCCTCCTTCTTTTTTATGTTTGTTACTCCCTCGTAACACCTCTAATCTTTTGGCGCTCTTATGACCTTATGCAGTTGTGAACGCCGTAAAACCTCTACTAAAACAAAACAAACAAAAGACAAGGGTTTGATAACTTTGTGTTTAAATTCATCTATAGATGTTGTACAGAAAGGAATTGTTATTCAAAGCTGCTTTGCAACTGAAAATGACTCCCATGAAGTCTTGCACTAGTTTTGCTTTACATAAGTTGTATAAGGTGCTGGGAAATTTTAGGTTGTTCTGGTTTTTGTCTTTTGGTGTAGTTTAATTGCTTCTTTGCTTTAATTTCTTTCTATCTATTGAAGAAAAAACCCCCCAATCCAGTCCTAATGACATGAACAATTTTTACAATTTTATTTATTTTAATGCCTGTGCAATTCCTTGGAGTGAGTGGGTGAGTTTTTGTGTCTCATTTGTGGACGGTTGTTTTAGTGTGTTACATTTTTAGGGAAAGGGACCTGCTACTAATGCCATGTGTGTGTAACTTTGTTCCCCATTCCTACCCACAGACACGACAGCTCCTCTCCAGAACGCAGCAAAGAGAAAAGGAAAAAAAGCCGAAAACACAGTAAAAGAGATCGGTAGGTCATCCCGGTGTTGGCTTGTGTTTAGTTTGTCCAGAAGTTCCCGTCTTGTATTTTGTCACCATTTTGTCCCTTTCTGTTGAGCGCTCGTGTTATGGGTCAGTTTGTATTGTCACGCTACCTTCCTCCTTTCGTATTCTTCCATCTCTGTTCATTGTTCTGTACTGTCGGTTTAGACCATTTTCCCCCTCCCCCCGTCTGCAACATTTGATGGTTTAAGTGCAGGAAGTCTGGCTTTTCTAAATATGTTGTTTGAGGAGGCTAAGAAAAACCAATGGCTTTCAACATGGACTGCTTTTCCTTGGATCGTAACTGGAGCTTCAGATAATCTCTGGTCTCTCTCTATCTGTCAGCTATCTGCATCACTTTAATCCATCAATATGTGCAGTAATTTATACAGTTTTTGAAGTTTGCCTATCTTTTTTCTACATATTTGTTTGTTTAGCTCCTGATTTGATATGATTTTTGACCAAACCCTTACCAAACTGAGTGTCTGGCAAATGGGTCAGTGTTGTGTGGATTGTGTAATGCACAGTTTTTGTTCGTATTATCATAGTTTTCTGTTAGAATTTATATTTGCTTCGAGGTGTTCCAAAACATTAGCATGACACATATGTTACAGTTTTTCATCTGGATGTATGAACTCCTGAAACTTCACCAAAGTTCTATTATGAATCGTGTAATTGATCAAGGTGCTCTGATTCGAGAGCAGTAAGGATTTTTTTTTTCTCAGATCCAAGCGCTCTATTGTAAAGATTTTTATAGCCTCAAAAGATTTGACAGAGAGAGTACTGTGGAATAATTCCTTTAGACCCCAGTGAATTTTAATGAAAAGGAAGTTATTAGTTCAGTTGTCTTTGTAATGAGTCAAAGCAATTGAAGACTACAGGGGAAAAACTACGGTAGTCGAAACCTGATAATTGTGAGGGTACCAATTTTGAATGCTTGTTGGCTCATAACTGTATTTCTGTTCAACTGTTGGTTGATTATTGTAGTTGGATTTATCGTTCAACAACACTTAACAATAAACCACCTGTCAAACAAATGTGAAGTTTTTATGAGTCCACAAGCTTTTAAAATTGGCACCCTCACAATTTTCAGTTTGTGACTATTGTCATTTACCTCTGTGCTCTTCAATTGTGAGACTGTTGTGAGGTGAACCTGCAGAACTTGGCATATTTATATATCTTTTTATCCAAGTATGGGGAGATCAGAGTTAGAAATTGAATAGATTTATATGTCTTTTAGAGGAGAAACTATTCACTTTATCTGCACCCATCCATCGTCTGTGTCATGGCTTTTCATTTCAGTTTCTTCCTTTTTTGTTTTGTTTTTTTTAATTGGTGTTTTTTAACAGCAAACCCTATACTGTTTTTGTAGACTGGACATGTGTGTTTAATTTTGCTTGCTTTCCGGACACACCCACTAGACAGACACACATACACAAATATTCTAGTAAATTGAAAAGCCCAAGAAAGTTTTGTCTTTAATTTATCCAACAGTGATGTAGAAAATGAAATGATGCGTAAAGTTTATGGGCACACTTGTTGTACATTCACCTTTATTTGTTTTGCATTGAAAGTTTCCTTCTTTGCTCTATGCTCAAGGAGAAATGTTGTTCTTAAGCGAAAAATTGAAAGAAAAATCTGGCGTTCCAATGAAGTAGGTTTTCTGGTAGTGGTAAGGATGTTTGATCAAAGACCAAGCCATCGTTCCCTTCTTCTGTTAGTTCAGGATGCCTAGCCATTTGGATAGGACAAAGTAGTTATAAGCGTCGTGCATGCACTCTCATACACGCTCACATACTCATGTGCAGGCACCACGCACACACACCCAAACACATGCATAGACCTATTTATATATTTTATCTTGAAAGCGTCTCTGAACCTCCTATTCCTTCCCTCCAGACTTTGTGGGGGTACATTCAATGTGTTCTGTCATGTTAAACATTCTCTGACAGTTTCTCCATACCTTATTTTGGCTGTAGTTCTGCTGCCCAATAGTGGTGTGGCGAATTTATATGTTACATATATTTATATATATAAATATATATATACTTGAAATAGTAACAACAGATAGTTGCCATTTGGATTGCACCTCAACGCATTTTGTTCTCCCTTTTTTCTTCTATTTTACAGCTCTCAGTAAGAAGGAGCATATGTATGTTTTCTTTTATTTCGTAGTTCCTCCTTGTAAACCTGTTAAATCCAGTAACTAAGTGGTCCTATATACAAGCAGTCTGAATAAGTGAATTATTTACAGCAGTTGTTGAAAATACTTTTTTAAAAACTTCTTTTTGGATGTTTCTTTGCTATTGATGCATCCCACTATTTCTGAAAATTGTCCTGATATTTTTTTGTTCTTTGGCCTTCTTGTTTAGTTCATTTGCTTTTCGCTCACCTCCCCATTTCCAAAATAAAATATTTCTTTGAATGTATGCGGGCTTCTGAAAGTGTTTAATTTAGATGCCATCTCTAGGAAAAATATCAAAATGCAAAAAAAAGAGAAAAGGGGAGGGGGATGTTTATCTCCCAAAGTAGAATTTTTAATCTTTTCCAAATTTGCCTTGGATTAAAAATACATTACTCATCATTGGGACGAAGAGTAAATTGTTTTTTGTTTTTCACCCAGTGCAGAGTGCAATATGTGTTTGTTATGCGTCGCATCTCCATACTTGTACTCCTTCATGAAGAGTAAACGTAACAGAGCTATGACCATAACAGTTTTGTCTAAGACCATCACTTTACTACTAATGCAAATAATCCTAGTGTAAGAGGAGCTCTGTTCTTGTAAAGCTGAGTATGATACTACGGTTGTGTTGCTAGAAACAATATTCCTTGTCCATTCTCTGTACATATTCCTGGATGACTGGCTGATTCGTGGAAAATGCCTTGCATAATGTGTGAATGTGGTTTGTGTGGTATTCATTTTCACATCAAAGTTGTGTTGTTCACCTGATACCTTCACAAATGCTTATTTGTTTCTGTTTATCAATGTTATAATATGCAGTACAAATATGTTTAAGAGGAAGATTGGAGAGAGAAAAATAAAAAAATAAATCAGCAATCCGTGGCCAGAGAAAGTAAAATGCAGAGAAATGATTGTTTGTAAATAAAAGTCTTGCATCCAACACAGCTTTCTTTTTGTGTGTGTATTTAGGAATTTGTCTGTTGTGTCATCATTTTTGACGGGCGTTTATTGGAATCTCTTTGGCTTGATCGGCTCCTATCTTCTTGTGTTGCCCTCCTCCCTCCCCCTGCAATTGTGGGGACAAAGTGGGTTGGTCTATTCGTAAATTGCAGTTGATAGTAGTACTAAGACTTGTTGTAGGTAAAAACAAAACTCTTGAGAAAGAGAAGGGACGGGGAAATCCTCCCAAACCTGTTCCGCTTCAGTGACTGTAGGTTTTCCCAGCTGATGTAGTTTCTTCTTGCTGGTCATATTTGTGGGAAAAAATGCATGAACACTTCCACGTGCGACTTGAGTAGTGCAGATTATAAAGCTGCAGTAGATTGACTAGAACATTCTTTCTCGATATTGTCAAACATTTGTTTTGTTATGTTCCTGCCTGCGATCAAAGTGGATCAACTTCTTTCTCATTTCATCACTCACACGTGGTTTTTACTTCATGTTTTCTCACACTGCTGTATTTGGTCTTTGTGGGTGATTTCTTGTTTTTGAACCATTTTCTTTATTTCTTCCCTCTTTATGTGTATGCCTTTGAGACTTGTTTTAACATGCAGATTCACTAGCTGTAAATTTGTTTCAATGTGCACTTCACCATATTTATTTATGAGTTCCTGTGTCTTTGAAGTAGTGAAGAGCTTGATATATTGTTTTCCTCTTGGGGTTTCATTTGTTGACAGATAAATCGGCACACGGTTGCAGGTAATTCGTTATCTTCCCATCACCCCTGCTCCTGACTTTCTTTTTTCATCTCCTGAACATTATGAACCATGATCTGAGCATCATTTTGTCACCACATTGTGTTCATTTGCTGAGGAAGCCCTCCTTCTCATATGACGTAATTTACATCCGACTCATTCTTTGGCAGACGACACACTCATTGATACTTGGTACAATCATTGACACATGAGGCTTTCATTGACATGTTGTACACTCACAGACAGACACATAAGGCATACACTGACTCCTTCACTGACAGATGGTGCTTCCATTGACACATTTGTTGACTCTTGATGTACTCAATGATACACATCTCTGCTTCTCATGCTCTGAAAGCAGAGTGTACTCAGATTCCTAGATTATGAGAGGCGAAGAGAGGAGGGGGTGGGGGCGGGGGGATATGCTGAGGTCAGACGAGTTTTGATTATTATTTCACAATGCTGGGGGTTGGATCTGTTAGAACAAAGGTCTAGCTTCTTTTTTTAAAATGTGCCCCTGTGGTAATTTATTTGTAAAAGAACACTCATTTGATTACAAAATGCTTCGAAATGCAACAGAAGTTTCGAAATGCAACAGAAGTAGAGAATTTGATTTGTACCATTATAAATACAAAGGTTTTGATATCTTTGTAAGTCTTTTAATAAGCTTAGATATTTTCAAAACTGCAAGCATCTGTGGTGTATCGAGGAGGCTTTTGGCTGTTGCATGCAGAAAAGGTTGTGGGGGGAAAAAGTAATATCATTGTGTTTAATTTGTGATTTACTTTTCGGAAAGGATGTTCAAACTGGATATTAGTTAACAAAGTTGAAAAGGATTATACAAGCATTTTTGAAGTTAAATAAGGTGAGTTGTTTGGTGTGACTTTGAGATTCTGTTGAATCGTTTGAGTTAGTTGTAAAAGGGACAAAGTATACGGTGGGGCTTGGCAAATGAATGTGATCTGTGGCCTTGTATTTGTCATCTCCTTCACTGTCTCTCTCTCTCTCTCTCTTATGTTCTCAAATGACGTGAAAGTACAATGTAGTCTGTGGATGTTTTAGACAGGATATGCTGTGTGCCTTTTTGGCATCTTCACAATTTCACCTCTGGTTTTGCCTGTAGGATTATCTTTTTTCATCCTTCATGATAGTATCATTCATGTTCTTGGCTAGAACTCGTGTTGTTTTCTGGTCTTCTCTCTTTGGTCTTTCTGCTTTGTTTTAGCTTTTTTTTGTTTCTGTTTCATGCGTGTGACTACTAAAGCATTAAAGTAGACTTTGTTTGTGCAGTCATTAGGTCTGTGTTTATTTCTCCACTTTTGCTTTGTTTGTCGTATGTAACTGCTGTCTTATATTCTTTCCTTCTGTCTGTATTACTAACATCCTGTCAAAATTTCAGTCTCATTTCATTCGGCCTGTCATGTTTCTTATGCGGAGGTCTGAATTTGCTTTTGTGATTTTAACAATTTTACTTTTTTGTTTGTTTCACTTCTTTGTTTTGTTTCAATTGTTCCTTTGTTTTTATTTACTAATATCTATGTCACTCCCCTCCCCCTCCCCCCCCACATCATCTCTCTCTCTGTCTCTCTCTCTCTCTCTCTCTCTGTCTCTCGTTCTTCATCCACTACTACTATCCCCCCCACCCAAGTATTTAGCTTTTTTGTCACTCCACTAACCCTCCAGACCTTCTGATGTTACCTCCACTTCCTTAGAACTCCATCAATTAAATTGTTTTAAAAAGTTTTTACTTTTTAATTGATCTTTTGTCAGGTAGATACCTTTTTGCTGATCTTTTGCTATAGGGAATTTTTTCCCCTTTTGATTCTTGAAAGTCTGGATGTATTTGTAGCTTTTAAGATGAAGTGTTTGTCCCTTGGGTTTCATTTCTTGAAGGAAATATGCTCATATGAATCACTCATCAATGAATTGTTAGACTGGAGGAAAAATTTTAAACCCCCCCCAAAAAAGATTTTATTTTCTTATGCATATTTCAGCAGATGAAAGAAACATGTTTATGTAATTTTATCATCTTCATTTTTTCCGCACCTGTTCTTCAGCAGAGCAGAAAAAGATTGTTTGCTTGAGCCCAATGTGTGTTTATATATATATATACACACACACACACAGCTTGATTGTAGTCTGCACTCACCGGTAGAGATGTTTTTTTTGTACTCTCATATAAAGCTAAAAAAATATGGAGGCTGAAAGGTACTCTGTGTTGTCTGTTTGCTTATCTCTGAGCGCTCTATAAATGCTGCAGCTTTGCCATGTTGGGTGGTGGTGGTGTTTCTCCAGCTAGGAATCTACTTTCGCTTGCAAAAATCTCTTACTAAGCATTATATAAAGTACAAGTGTGTAATTCGTTACAGAAGAATCTTTTTTCAACTCTTGGCACTGGTTCCTGCAGAGCTAATGATTGCTGTTCAAGATTAATGGCTGAACGAGTGAAAGAGCAAGGAAGCCAGTTGCTATAAATTAAGAGATATCTATGAGTTATTACATTCTTGTTTTCGATGTGTAATGTTGTGTTTGGTGAGGGCAGTTAGTTATTGCGTAGCTCGGTAAGTCATCACTGTTGTATTGGGAAAGGGGTGACCTTGCTGCCAGACTAACCAGCATGGACTAACAGCTACCGTTATCTGACTTTCCTGAAGAGCCTAGAAATCATTAGTTGTTCCCCTTCACATGCTATGTGGTGCTCAGCTCTGATAGGTTTTTATGTTTTTTCCAGGAGAAAACATGCTATTTGAGCGCTGGAAAATTCAGTGAACATAAATCGTGATACTAGAAAATGGCTTCTGTCCACGCTAAAGTAAGCCATATTATATTCCTACTCTCCATCATCTCGTCACCTCGAAAACTATTTTGTCCAAAGTGTACTTAATTACAGTGTGCACTATGAATGGACAAAATAGTTCTGGTGCGACGATATGTTTGCATTCTGTTTGTGGACTTAGATCTAGAGTTAGGTTAGATTAAACCACTTTGCCCTGCTAATGAGTTTTTTGTTTTTTTAAAAAGTGCCAGGGTTTGTTTTTCTGCCTTGTTTGGCTGCATCATGCAATGTTTTGTGTCATTAATGATGATCTGGACTCCACCACCATTGACTTGCTCCCATCTCCTGGTCATAATCCTGTGTGTTTTTTTTTTATCATGTATTTGGATCACTGCATTAATGATCTACCAATCTGGTTCTCTTTCCCTCCCACTGCATATCACTGTGTGAATATTAGCTATAAAATCTAGGCTGGCCAACAGGTAATACCACACGAGATTTTTCCTCTCAGTTTTTTTTTGTTTCACCGTAACATTAGTCGTCTTGATCAGAGAAATGATAACATTTGTTTTTCATTACTGTAAGATTTATTTGTCTTGATAAAAAAAAAAATTCTCAGATTCATTACTTATTTTTTTAAAAACAGTAATATTTACTACATAACGTTAATTTCTTTGCTTCTTATCTAGTTGATGCCAGGTGTTAGCAATGTGTTCTCTTTTCATTGTAAATATTTGTTCTAAATAGGAATCTTGAGATGTTTTAGTTTTGTGTACTTTGTAGTAGTAAAGACAAGCATACTTTACTCTAATGTAAAAAAAACACCCCCCCCCAAAAAAAAAGTATTCAGCTTGAAGACGTTTCAGTATAATATTCTCCAATGACGGCATTGAGTGGTTGACTGTTGATGCTAAGTAACTGGTGTGGACTATTGACTGCTACCAGCCAGCCGTAGAGCAGATTGTGTAGAGGTCTGATTTTACACCTGTACGTCACCAATAAGTTTGTTCTCATTGCTTGCATGGAAGCTCGTCTTCTTATTATTACACTAGGAGAATGTAGGCATCAGTATGTCCACAGACATCTTTGTGTAGGCATTTGTGCGCTTAACCTTTTGAGATGGTTTGGTTTCTGTTTTTTTTTCTTTTCTTTTTTTTTTTTTTGGTATGGTTTTGTTTCTGTTCGTGGGCCTCATCTCATCCTTTCTACTTTTTTCGTTACCTTGCTATCTTCAACATTTGAGCCAAGTTTTGAGGTAAGATCCCACGTCACTTCCCTCCCCCCTTTTAATTTTGAAGATTAGTTGATTTCTTTTTGTTCCCAGGCGTATGACATGCCAGGTACTTGACTAACTGGACAGGTGTCACTTAGTGCCCAGTTAAATTGTTATATGGGGGAAGGGGGGGGGGGAGATGTCAACGTCAACCATTCTTTTTGCTTGCTCTATTATACAAGACAAAAAATATTCTCCTTTATATGGTTGGTTCATGTAGTGGAATTTGGAGGTTGAGAGGGGTTTTTAGTGTAGAGGAGGGAAAAAAGGGGGGAGGGGGGTAGTGTAAAGTAATTTTTTGAGGGAGTAAAGAGGGGGGTAGTTTAGAGGGAGTAAAAAGTGGGAGGGGAGAGTATATAGGGAATTTTCACAAAAAAAGGGAAGGGGGGGAGGGGGGATTATTGAGAGTAATTATGACATTTGTCAAGTCTTTTTTTTTTTTAATGGGTGCTCTACATGAGGGTCCTGTAAAGTGTACTCTGTGGTTTTGATGATCTAATTGTGGCCATGAGTAAATTCTGGACACTTCACTCGCTTGCCTTTGTTTTGCTTGATTTGGCCTAACCCACCACACTGATCACCTCAATATCTCTGTGTGTGTGTCTGTGTGTGTGTACACATGTGTGCGTGCGTGCGTGTGTGTGTGTGTGTTTTTTTGGACTTGAGCCGTCCGTCCCTCCCTGTTCCTTTGTCCGTGCTGTACTAACCTCTCGGAGCTGCCTCTGACCACCTATCCACTTATTCCGTATCACTCTGTGGGAAAGACCGTCTTGATGCTTGTAGACTAGAATAAGCCTACTACTACTACTACTACTACTATATAGCATCGTGATATCTCTACCCTTCTGTAAGCTACATACTCACACTATAGCTCTGTTTATAGAGTCATGTTGAACTCTTTCACTTTGCTGAATTATACTTACTTAAGATTCTTTTTTTCCCACCCCCAAGTTTTATTATTGGACTTTGGCAGTGTTATTGGTAGTTGCTCTAATTCTCAATCGGTTCAGATTGTACATACTAGCCCAAAAATTAAAACGAAGTTAGATGTAATGAAAATACTTGTCTTGATATGTGCGTATGATGTCAGAACGGCTTATATGTTGCCTTTAAAACCGTAATCTTAAACTTTATTCCTTCTCTAACTAGTTAACCACTGACAGGATCTGACAATATTATTATAGCCATATTTACAGATCTAGATAAGCAGACTACATTTAGCATGTCTCCCTCCTTTGCTTTTTTTCATTATTTCTTTGGTATTGTTTGAATTGCTCAAGCATTGTCCGCCTACCGATCATCACGGATTTCTTTGAAAGAATGCTTAATTTATGCCTCAGAGCATGGCTCACAAAATTCATCATTGCTTTATTAGCCAGAACTAAAAGACTTGTGGCAGTGCTCCAAGAATGTACATAATAAAGTGCTACTACTTGTTTTTTTATTATTTGTATCCTTTAACTTTTGCATTGATTCCAACTTTGCCAGCCAACTTTGCAAGCGATACTTTTAAAAGTCATTCTCCCCCCCCGCCCCCGCCCTTGCGTATGATGATTGGGCATTCTTTGAAAGTGTGAGTGACAGTGGACCATCACAAACCACCTACCTAAGCCCTTCAGTTTCTCTCATGGTCTTACCTAACAAAGTCTTAGTTTTTTTCTTATTCATCCATTTTTTTTGAGTTTCTGGCACATCATTACTTCACCATTTGTCCATTTTCTCTTCTTCTGTCCGTCCTCTCGGTCTTTCAGTGTCTTTTTGTCTTTCTTACTGATTTCATCTCATCCTTTGCACTTATATTTCTCCCTGTTTTTTTTACATGTTTCATTTTATTTTTAAAAAACTGTTGAATTGTTTTCAAGCATTTTTCTTTTCTTTCCTTTCAGTTCTCACTCTAAAAAGCAGAGAAAGAGGAAGCACAGGTCCAAGAAGAGGTAGGCGAATACATGTACTGGGCTGGCCACATTGTTGGCACCTCTGTCTGTCTGTCTGTCTGTCTGTCTGTCTGTCTGTCTGTCTGTCTGTCTGTCTCTGTCTGTCTGTCTCTCTCTCTCTCTCTCTCTCTCTCTCTCTCTCTCTCTCTCCTTCTCTCCCCCCTCTCTCTCTCTTTCTCTCCCCCCTCTCTCTCTTTCTCTCCCTCCTTCTCTCTCTGTGCCTCCCTCCCTCACTCCTCCTCTGCATGTGGGTAGGTGGGTGGGTGGGGGCGTTGGTCGTGTTGAGGTCTGTGGGTCCTAGTCATAGTCATGTCCTTGCCGCAATGTGCTATGTCATGTCTTGAGCTATAGATAAATGATATCCTTGTCTTACTAAGCTTCTTAATTTCCCCACTGGAAAGATCATTAAGTAAAAATTTTGTTGTTGCAGGGGGGGTAACAAGTTGTCCTTTATATTTATAGGATGAGAGTTGTGTAAATATTTTTATGTGGGTGGTTGGCGAGTGCTCTGGTATGGTTTGCTCCTTCTTTCATATAAAAAATCTATCGTCTTTATCTATCCTCATTCTTTTCTCTGTTACTCCCTTGTAACACCTCTAATCTTCAGCACCTATATGACCTTATTGTGTTGCAAGTGCCGTAAAACACTTACTAAAATTAAACTATCTCCCCTCCTTCTTTTTTCTGTTTGTTACCGCCTTGTAACATCTCTAAACTTCGGCAATTATATGACCTTATTGTGTTGCAAGTGCGTCTTGTAACACCTCTAATCTTCGGCACTTATATGACCTTATTGTGTTGCAAGTGCCGTAAAACTCTTATGAAAAAAACCCCCTAACAAATGTTTCTATGTTGTGTTTGCCCTAGGTCGGAAGAGAAGAGGCGGTCCAAGAGACAGCACAACAGCAGCAGCTCCGACTCGGACAGCCAGGATGACAGGTGAGTGGAACACAATTGGTCGCTTTAAAGACAAGCGGGATAACCCATTTTTTGGGGATTTCCAGAAACCTTTATCTGCACCGAAAGTGGGCATTGCCCTGCCTATAGGAGAAGTTTGATTTCATTGGTGTGTATATTTGTTTAGTTATAGTTAAAGAAACTGAACAATGGGCAAAAACTTTTATCTTCGATTTTCTCAAAACAGCATTTTTGCCATAGCCCCCTTGTGCTTAAAAACGACCAAATCAAGTTTTGAGGGTAAATGGACCTTGTCAGATAGATTAGTTGTGGGTGGTTGGCGGGTGCTCTGGTGGTGTGGTCTGCTTCTTGTTTCCTGTAATGCATCTGTCGTCGTTTTCTCCCCCTCCTTCTTTTTTGTGTTTGTTACTCTCTTGTGACGCCTCTAATCTTCAGCACTTATATGACCTTATTGTATTGCAAGTGTCGTAAAACATTTACTGAAACTAAACATAGATTAGTTGGTCAGCCATTTGAACAATCTGTAAGTGTGAAGCGTGCTGACAAAATGAGTTACTTCTCGCAGTTGAGCCCTATGGAAATAGATACACCACGTTCAAAGATGAAGTTTTTACAATTTATAAGTATGAAATAATAAAAGGCATGCTGGCACTTTAAGAATATGGCATCAATAGAAGATTTACAAATTTCACTTTAGTGGCGATTTTAGGCCAATATCTCCATTTGTGGATTACGAGAAGTAACTCATTTTATCAGCTTGCTTCTGATAATGTGAAGAACTAGTAATACAGGTACATTAAAACTTGTTAACACAAACGTCATGATGATAATAATAATAATAATGACGGTCATTTCTATAGGGCCCACTCCCGTGTAAACACAGCTCTAGGCGCTTTACATAAATGCATGTACGAACAATATTCATGCACGCGACACACACACACACACACAAATACACACACTCATACACACACAAACACACGCACATATACACATACACACACACAAAGTGCGAGAGAATTTCTTGGTGTTCTACAGATTTTGTGTTAAAGGAAGTTCCAACGAATAAACAAACAGGAGGGAAAAAAAGCAGGGGTGTGAAATTCTTTCTTGAAAACAGGAATTTTGTGTTAAATGGCTTCGTGTCAAACAGTCTACTGTGGCCTCTTTATTAATGGATATTCTTCTGTCTCAGATTAGAAGATGTAATATATTCTTCTTCTTATGGCCCTTGCAGAGGATGCCGTTAATGACCTCCCAGAAAAACTCAGCAAATATGTTCCACTTCTATTCAGTCCTCCAATTCCCTGGAAATGTACAGTTTTGCAGATTGTAATTATTGCTCCACTTTCTCTCACTTACGCCATCATTATGGCAGCTGGACTTTAAAAAATTTAACTAATCTTTATGGACGGTGGGCGGATGCTCTGATGTGGTTTGCTCCTTCTACCTTGTTAAACATCTACCGTCTTTATCTCTCCTCCTCCTTTTTTTTGTGTTTGTTACTCTCTTGTAACAGGCACTTTTATTACTTTCTTGTGTTGAAAGTGCCGTAAAACTCTTGCTAAAACTAAACTAAGTTCTGACCGTGTCTCTTTGTCATCCTCTCTTCAGCGACGATTCCGATGTACCGGCCCGGAGCTCATCGGATAAAGAAGGAGAAATCTCCAGGACTAACGGCCACTTCAACAGTTCACAACCCACAGACAAGTAGGCTCATTGTTTGGCTGCTTTTGTTTTTTTGTACACTTGTTTGTTTTTACTGAGTGGATGGTTGGCGGATGCTCCTTTTTTCCTATCAAACATCTTTCATCCTGATCTCTCCTCCTTTTGTGTGTTTGTTACTCTCTTGTTACACCTCTAATCTTCAGCATTTATATGACCTTTTTGTGTTGCAAGTGCGTAAAACTTTTACTGAAACTAAACTGTTTTCACTGCTAAATAGTTTACCTATGGCCACAAACCAGTAGGCTCATTGTTTGACTGTTTTTGTTTTTTCGTACACTTGTGTAATTATTGTTTGTGTTCACTGCAACATAATTTTCCTATGGTGATGTCAACGTTAGTTATGACCTACTGTAGTGAACTACTGTACCCAATTGGGTAGAACTTTGGTATTGAAATCTTTGTGGAGTTAATATTTTCTTCTCTCTTGTCAGTAACATTGTGTGTAACAAAAATGCAATAAGGTCCACCATGCCCGTTTGTGTCTTCAAAATTAAATGTTATCTGTCAACCGTTGGTTTATGATAACGTCTGCTGTGTCTAGTACACGTCATTTAAGTCACCTGTCTAGGTAGATGATCTTCCCAAAGGTTTAGAAGGGTATTAGACTAGAGAAAATTACGTTTACCAAATGTCAGTGGCTGACGGGGGCCACTGGTATGTTATGCATGTGAACATTCCTCAGGTTTTTTTTTTTGGTGTCTGTCTTTTTTTTTTCCTTTCTCAGCTGAACACAACTGGTCATGTCATTGTGTTTCCCATTATTTGAAATGATGAATATCATTGTAACAAGTGTTGACTTTTGAAGGAGAATTTTATCATGGCCAAGTGGGTGGTTGGTGGGTGCTCTGGTGTGGTTTTCTCCTTCTTTCCTATCAAACATATGTCGTCCTTATCTCTCCTCCTTTTTTGTGTATGCTACTCTCTTGTAACACATAACCTATTCTTCGGGACTTATATGACCTTATTGTGTTGCAAGTGCCATAAGACTCATACTAAAACTAAATTATCATGGCCAAAAGAGCCCTAGAACTGTTGCTTACCTCTGTATTTTCTGTTTGTAACTTTGTTCTTGCCCATTAAAAAAAATCCTACTTTTGTGCGTACTTTGTTTTGTTTTCACTTGGGAGGGGATAACAACTAAATATTTTCCCTGTTTTTTGTTTTGTTTTTCTTCAGGAAAGAGTCTCTGTCTCCAACCACAACCAGCGCGTGGATCAGAAGCCAGTCCAACAAAAGTGTGATCTCCTCAGACAGCGTAGCCGTGTCGGCTGTATCTGACAGTGTCTGGCCTTCCCAGGAAACCACAGCACCCTCCTCGGCTGTGGTCAGTTCGGCGGTAAATGGCGGGGCCCGTCGCTCTCACTCCCGCTCCTTGTCCAGGTCCCGCTCCCGGACTGGCTCTCACAGAAGTCGCTCGTACAAAAGGTGGGGGCGGGAGGGGTGGATGTTACGTAACGTAGTCTTAAGCTTGACAGAAAGTTTAGTGGGATTTAGGGTGTGTATGTGTATGTGTATTTCGCCTGCTGTAATTGTCTTTATTTATTCAAGGATTTAATTGTTTTTATGTAGTTTCACTCGCTGAGATGTCTCTGTTTGTGACCTTTTGGTTTTCTTGGAAATTTTACTTATTCATTAGAGCACACCCACAAACAGACCCCCCACCCCACACATACTCTCACACACATACACACACACAGAGCTAACAACCCAGAGTACTTCTATTTCCTCCTCATAGTCACCACACAGGTTGCGGTCAGACTCCTCTCTCTCTCTCTCTCTCTCTCTCTCTCTCTCTCTCTCTCTCTCTCTCTCTCTCTCTCTCTCTCTCTCTCTCTCTCTCTCTCTCTCCCTCTCTCTCTCCCTCTCTCTCTCTCTCTCTCTCTCTCTCTCTCTCTCTCTCTCCCTCTCTCTCTCACACACACACACACACACACACACACAGGCACACTCACACAAACACACACACACACACACACACACACACACACCCACCCACCCACACAGAACTAACAGCTCCGACTACTTCTCTCCCCTCCTCCAGGTCATCACACAGGTCCCGGTCAGACTCGTCTCGCTCAAGAAGTCGCAGCCACAGCCGCAGCCGGTCCCGCACCCACTCGCCCAGCCGGTCGCCTCGACGCAGCAGACGCAGTCGCAGCCACAGCCGCAGTCACTCCCGCAGCCGCAGCCTCAGCTCGGCGTCGGACAGAAGAGGGGGCGGGGGCAGTGGCCATCGAGACTCGAGGTCACCGTCCATCAGAAGACGCCACGGATCTCCCAGTCACCTGGACAAGCGACGCATCACAAGGTACTTGTTGTTGTACCGGTAGGCTGGTGCCTCTTCTCTCGTCTGATGATGTTTTCTTCTAGTTCATCGGTCTCTATAGTGTCAGACAGAACCGAATTTTTCAACGATATTGTTCAAACTTATAAATCATTATATTATTCTTTTTGTTTTCAAAATAGCCAAACTTCCAAATTAAAAGAAATTATTTCATAAGCCGTTGATTTACTGTTGTTACAACTCTAGTTCTTAAGCCTTCGTATGTTAATAGACCAGAAAAGATTATATAACTTATTTCATCGTGTTAGATACAAGTGTAAAAGTGAAAAGTAAGTTGAAGATAAGGTAATATTTCACTGATGAGTATAGTTTCGTTCATGTTTTCTGTCAGTTTACTGTGATAGCTTGTCAGTGTTTATTGATGTTTCAACGTTTGATTTGTGATGAAATTATAAACAGCTCTGTGACTATTTGATGTTCAGTGTGCTTCTTTTAAAGTGAATCGTAAACGATAAAAGTAGATCTGTTTTTTTTAAAAATCTCAAAATCATTATCCTCTTTGCCCACATGAGTTATTTCGTTTACACACACGTCACATTTTTCTCTTAATTATGATATATATTTTTGATGTACTTGCATGGATTTTCAGTTCAAGTGTAGCTATTGTTTGTTTGGTGTTGGGTGTTTGGTGTCTATATTTTATGTTTGACTGCAGTCAGCTCAAGGGTTTACAGTTTTATTTGAAAATATCTTACTTTGTTTTATTTAAATACACAGATTATGCTGATGTACTTTATCATTTGCTTGACAGAAATGAGTTTCCTTGTGTATGGGATCTTTCTTTTTAAGTTGATGATGCATTGGGGGAAATTTTCTGGGAAAAAAACTCATTTCTCAATGGTATAAAGTCTCACCGCTCATGTTTTGTTTTTATTTCAGTTTGTTGGTGGTGTATGTAGTATAGATTCATTGTCAAGTCTTGTTGTGCGACTATGTGTCAGCAGATATATATATATGTGAAGTCTTTTATTTTTTTATTTTTTTGTTGTTGCTGGTTTCAAATGAGCTTATTTTTTGTTCTTATGATTTCCATCACTTTTTATTTCTTTTGTCCTTTGTTGTTTTGTAACGCTGGTGAATCGTGATGGTAGCTCGAGCAGAAGGTACCACAGCAGGTATAGCCGATCCCGATCCAGGTCTCCTTCCCGATCACGCTCCCGTTCTCCGGCGAGAAACCGACGGTATTCCCGGAGAGGACACTTCTAAAACTGGTACTGATTTGCTGCTTGCGTTTAGCCCCCTATTAGGGAGACTAATTGAGTCAAAGAGTTCATGCTGGTCTTACTAACTTTGTTGCTACGAATCCCCCCATCTCTCTCTCTCGGCTGCTGGTTGATCCTGCAGTCGGTATGCTGATCTCTTCGCTAAATTTACCATATATTGCTAACAGCTCTTGGCTTTCGGTAACTTACTCGTTGCTATTGAATCCCCTTGTCTCAGCTCCTGGTTGATCTTATAGTCAGTATGCTGATCTCTACACTAAAATTTACTACAATACTAACAGCTTGTGCCTCTCGGTCAATGCTTGGATACCCGAAGGGGTCCACACTGTCCTGTTTAACTCTATAATAATATAATAATAGTGATAATAAATTTCATTAAAATTTCATTTGTTTTGAGTATAACCCCGCTCTACAGCAAGCTCTATGTGCTTTACACTATATTATTACCTCAGCAGACCATAAGACACTCAGAAAAGAGGCATACTGTGCAAGCTGCTGATTAAGCACTCAGACACTAACAAAAATTTCGCTGTCCATAGCTGGGTACCCATTCCCACCTGGTTGAAGTGAGGAAAATTCGTGTTAAATGCCTTTCCCAAGGACACTACATCGGGTCCCTGACAAGATTCGAACTCATGACCTTACGGTTGCGAATCTGAGAACCTAACAAACCACTAAACCTCCCCTATAACCTCCCTGAACACTGGCCTCTTATGTGCCCTGTTGGGGAGTAGCTCAAGAACTGAGTATGTAATACAGGGCCTGTTCTTTTCTCCAATTTCTCTAATACATTTCATTTAGAAATCTCCTACTAAAACGAAATGGTATGACCGTCTAGTCAACTTAAAAATTTACAACATCCTTTGGTTATGTAGCATTAATATTATAGGTATACTTTGCATTCGTGGTGTGTATATTGTACAGTTTCTATACCCGCACATATGCAGTTATGTGTCTTGCATCTTGTAGCATTCTCCTAACCTTATGTGTTGACGTAGCTTTTGTGTTGCATGTTTCAGCTTTTAAATTTTTTTTTCTACCATTTGTTTTGCTTTCTGCTTGTTTGCTTGATCCTTTGTTTGTTGGTCTGATGGTTTGCACGCTGCTATGTCATGAGTTATTTTGCATGCAGTCATAAGTTGGGGTTTTAGGTGTGAATGCCAGTGGGTAGGTTCAGGCGGTCTTTCCGATCCTTTGTAGAGGGGGGGTTGCCTTGAGCTGTTTGGCATCTTGATGTCATATTTCTGAATGCAGGATGACTACCTGAATCATCCTTCCTTTATTCCTTTATCAGATGCTTGAGAGAAAAAAAAAGTTGTGTTGAGCACGTTTCATATGAAGTGTTCTTTAGCATTCTGTCTTATGGGCCTCATAAGTAATCCACCTGCAGGTGTCAGAAATATATATGGGTCCTGGGAGTACCAGGCACAGCCTGTTTTTTGGCGAAATAAATTGAGAATGCTGTCTGAAAACCTTCTGGTTTCTCTGCTTGCCATAGTTTGAATTACTAACATCTCAGTGTTTTATCAAGTTGCAACTTTTGCAAGTAGAGAGCTACAGGAAGTGTAAATCATAGAAAAACTTTTTTAGAGGGGAGCCAATTTTTTTCATGGGTATTTGTCGGCAAAATTACTTTTGTTGCAATACACTTTTCTGAATAAGAAAGGCGGGAAAATAATGCATCAAGTCATACCAAGCATTTTTTAATTTTTTCATAATGGAAACCTACCTAAGCTCTGTGAAAGTCTGCAATGCTTTTCCGATGCAAGGACATGTTTCTTTTGGTTTCATGGGTGTCTAATTTTAAAAGGTGCCCTGGAAAATAACTTCAAAATGAATATTGTTAGTTTCTCCAGGCTTTATCATACCATTTTCAGATATGAAAAAAAAGAATTAATGCAATAAACTTCAATAACCACCCCTCCCTTCATTGTCTCCCCTATTAAGAGCATCTTGGATTTTTTTGTTCTGTTATCGAAAGTTATTGGATCGATTGAGACTAAGTCGTACAAAAATCATGGGTTTCTGTAGGGCTTGTCCTTCCTCTCATAAGGAAGTAATCATGTCGAAAAGTTGAATGGTAATCTTTGCACAAGTGCCAGTGTGTTAAGATATAAACTACTCGGGCAGCCCTGGGATAATTTAAGTTACACAGATAATTAATGTTTTTGATGAAATTGTCCAGCTCTTTTCACAGAAGAGTTGAATGTTCAGAATTAAAAAGGTAAACTTGAAGATTTCGTGCCGTTCCCTCTTTTCACAGGGGCTTCTTAAGTTTGTTTTCCTTTTCTTCATTGCTGAAGTTTCAGTTTTATCAACTGAGTACCTGGTATATCATATTACATGTAGCATATTGGTACATTTCCCCTTCTAACTGCGATGAGTTTTTGATCAGGTTGTTTAAAGGTTTGACATTTCAAATTCCTACCACTTTTTCCTGAGGCTCCATGCCATTACGCCTTCCTATTAGAGCAACTATTGTTGTTTTAAGTAGCTTTTCATAATCGAGACACTGAATTTACTTGAAGGTGTTGCAGATCTAAATTTCTTTTATAATATAATGTTATTTGTATTTTGATCTCACCATAATTGGAAATGTAGAGCCATAACTGAATTTCATCTTTGCCTCTCCAGTTTAAGGACCACTTATATAGAAACTTCACCATCACACAGTTTTTTTTCTCAGTGGTAATTTAATTTCAAGTTAATTCGATATTGATTTTTAAAAAAGAGATTAAACCTTTCCGAAAGTGTAAGCATTCTCCGTTTTTACATCATATATTTGGGTGCAAATGAATAATTATTTTATCTTAATTAGTTCTTGTGGTTTTGAAGACTTTGTTGATTTCTCTGCTTTCTTCGATTTGGAAAGGGGGGGTGGGGTGGAGTCAAAGTAGGTCCATAACAATATTTTATGACGCAATTTATTTTCTGCATTTGTGCAGCACTTTGTACCATGCATGGGTGGAAGGGTGCTTGACTCTGACCCCAAATTGCAAAATGTCTTTTGTTACAGTCTTGTTGCAAAATGTCATTTGCTTGAGTCTTGCATTCAGCCATCAGTATGAAGGGACTGGTAGTGATTGTGCGTGTTTGTGATTGCCTCCGCAGTGCACGCAAGAGGCCAGTACCCTACTACCGGCCTTCCCCTTCCCCGTCTGACAGCGACTCTTCCTACGCCTCGCGGTCACGCACGCGGTCACCAGCTTCACGGTCGCGGTTTCGAAGCCTCTCCCGTTCCCCTAGCCTGGATGTCCACCACAGACGCCGGAAACAGCAACAGCAACAACAACTACCACCACAACAACAGCAACAACAACAACAACAACAGTACCGTCATCACCATCCCGACCAGCCCCTGCATGGCACCAGCAACCCCATCAGTTTGGGCTACATGGCCCCCGTCCCTACGTCTCAGCTCCCCCCTCCGTCTCTCATACCCACGTCCTAACACAGAGCTGCTCCGCGTGTTCAAGTAGATGTTTGATGCCTCAGCTACTGGCCATTCGTTGTGCTGTGCTGTTTCAGGGTCGTGCTTAAGCAGCCCCATTGTTGCGTGACACTTAAATCATCTGTGAAAGATATCCTGGTAGTGGAGAAATGTTTCCGTTGTCAGTGCAGAATGTGGTGTATTCACACACCCCCCCCCCACGTTGTGTTTTCAGAAGAAACTCGTAAGCATTCATAAATGTCCAGGTTGTAGAGCGCATGGAGGAAGGGGATCCTTTTAAAATCAGAACATCACATAATATCTTTGCTCAAGAGATTATCCCCTACTTGGTGTGATTTCACACGAGTTCCTGATATGATACGATTTATGATATTGATATGTTATAAATGTAGGAAATATTAGCGTATCTTTTTTCCAAATGAGGCGTCACATAGCCCACACTGCTGTAGGCTTTTAGTAGTGTACCTGTAATGGGGGTCAGATACTTAAATAATTACAATTTGCATTTTGCGGATGCATTGATTTATGTGTTTGTTGAGCTAAGACTCGATGCGTGTCTGTATTGGAGAGATGGATGATATATACCTGTTTATCATGTAAATACATATTTTATTCCCACACTTTGTACATTTCAGATTCTTTAACTGAACATGACGAAATTTTTCGTAAGTTATTTACTTATTTAATGTGTGTCTTTAATTAAAGCATTAACTCGTGCATCTTCACATTTTCTTTGTGATACGAACAACACCATTGTACAAGGGTATTTATTGTAAAACTGTGTGAGTGTTGGAGAATGCTAGTCTATCTCTATGAGTGTCTGGTGCAGCAGTGACAGTTCTGAGCTGGGTGTGGGTGCATACTGTCACCACAGGCAGATTGATACACACACACACAGGCGCGTGCACACACACACTCACACGCGCACACACACACACACACACACACACACACACACACACACACACACACACAGATGCACGCTTTCACTCTCCGACATGTATGTAATGCAGTCGTGTGTCACCACTAAGGCGTTTTCTCTCTTTCGTCTTATATGAAAGTGGAAAGTTGAAGGCTGCGATATGTTGTGGGTCTTACTTCTTTATTATTCTTTTGTTGTTTCTCTCTGCATTTTCCCCCCAACACTAAATGAGCATTATCATGTTGATGTACCTCTCTGTGGCTGAATCCATCCTTCCATGCATCAATCAGTTCAGTGCTCATGATCACTTGCCAAGTGCTGGAGACGTATTGTGCCCACTACAGTTTTCACTCAACAAATCTGTTTGGGAAATTTAACTAAAGACTTTGGTTTTCCTTTGTCCTCCGCACTTTGTGGAGACAGTTTTCTCGTCAATATCTTTGTTTTATTTACGACATCTTGTTCACCACTTTTAGTCCAGTTTTGAATCATTGTTGCTAAAAATTGTCAGCTAGGTTTTTTTGGGAGGGAGGGGGTTGGGGGGGGGGGGGGGGGGGGGAGAGATTTGCCAACATGAAATTTCTCTTCCCTGTACGCTGTTTCTGTTGAGAGATATTTTTATTGCAAAAATGTTGCCCTCCACAGAGCAGGAATGGGAAGAGGAGGGTCATATAGAGCATGTGGTGGCTAATGTCTTTCAGTGTCGAGTGTTGTGTTTTTACACTCTGTGGTTCAGAGACCTGTTTAACCGCATTGCTTTCACTTGTGAGCACCACCAGCTTTGATGGTTGTGGTGAGGTGAAATCTCTCAGAGCTTAAGTCTTGTGAGCTGTTCTCTTGGCTGGCTGCTTGGTCCGTACTCGATAATACTTAGAGGTGGTAGTGTTTGCTGGCATCGGACTTATCTGCTCAGCGTGTTCATCTTTTTTCACAATATATGGAGATGCCAGTTGCCGGTACTTATGCTTCGAAGGTCCTCAAAGGTTTTTACTGTTTAGCTGTTAGTTAAGTTTGGACTGGCCCTCAGTTTTGAAGGCTATTTTGTACAGTTTTGGGTGTTCGGTTTCCCAACTTTCGTGACGTTGTCATTTCACAGAAACACTGCTGCAGACTTCTCTCTCTCTTGCCCTTTTTAACTCCCAGTGGAGCTAGGCTATCAACAACATTTCTCCAGCGAAGCTTGTCCTTTATATATATGGGAGCAGCTGGAGAGCTTGGCACTACTCCGGAGGTCAAACTGAGACAACCCCAGTCTCATGCTGAAAGCAGGAGCATTATGATGTTGATGTGCCTCTCTATAGCCGAATCCATCTGTCAATCAGTCCTTATGGACCTGTCTGGTGTGCAATGGCGTTGTTGCCCAGGTAATACAAGTCAATCGGTCGTGCCTCACTGGCATCTTCACGGCCTGACTCTCACCCTCTCGTCTCATCCTAACAGAAATCATCTCGTGTCAAGACAAAGAGGAAAAAAAACAACAAACCGCGTCTAGGTATTGAATGTCTTTGCTATTGTTTCTTACAATATTACACAGTCGAAATTATCTAAGACTAAGACGGTCACCCATTTTAGAGGAGAAAGTGACTGTCTCAGACAGATGGCCATCTTACACGGTGTCATTATAATGTAAAAAAAAAACAACACACTCAAGGAAATGCGGAAGTAGTCGCCTGTAAGTTTCATTCATTACCTAAAGCATTTTTGTCTGTATGTGTATGTTCACCAGCGTTTCTTTCAGATTTTAAAATCAAGTTGGTTTTTCCCCTACAGCACCCAATCTTCCTTCCTTTGAAATCACCTTTTCCAGTTCTCACCCATAATTGTTGATTGATTGTCATATATCGCTTGTGCTAAAGAGGTTGAAGTGTCTGTGGGAACAGTCTCTTGCTCCGTCCTGCTGGAAATTGATAGCAGAAAGGCTACAAATAAAATACACAATACTTATGAAGAGCTGAAGAAAGATACCATTGGGTTTTTTTTTGGGGGGGGAGGGGTCTCTTTGTAAGTATTCAAAATTTCTGTCCTTGTAAATGCTGGGCAGCATGACCAAGCTTGAAGTTAATGATCTCATATACTCTGGTATGTTACGATTTGTCAATGTTGGTTAATAGCACTTTGTTGTAGAATAGTTCTTTGTTTTGTTCCAACTTGTTTGTTTTGTCTGCTGAATGAAAGACATGTTATAGTTACTGTTTGTATTAGTTTATGAGATTATCCCATGTTGCTTTAGCCATTTCTATAGACTGATTGACCCGAGGAGAAATTGTTTGTGGGACTGTCAAGACTAGACCTGTGGGTGTGAAATCCTTAACTACTACAAGCCAGGAAGCATGCCCGGGTCCTAGCAATGGCTGAGAGAATGTCTGTGATATGTCACGGGCAGCACTGCTCAGCAGCCATCAACAGGATGTGACCCACTGAGTTCATTTGTAACCTCGTCAGACTTCATGAAACCAAATAGTTGTTATTGTACTTATAGCTGGTAATAGTAGTACCTGTAGTAGTTGTGGCATAAATCTAGATGTTTTTTTTCCCCTGTTTTTAAAGTATTATGCTCAGTTAGAATTTTCAGCCGATTTTATCAGTTGTTTTGTTCTATAGGAACCCACAGCTTCTTTTATATTCTGCTAGCTAGCTTGCGAAGTATTTTTGCAATATGGACCTGTTTATGTGAGTCTGACCACAGAAATAGAACATGATCTCACATAGAATGTCTTAATGGACTATCAGGAGGAAACACTCCCTGATCAAAATGTATTACCCCTACTTCTCTTTGTTTCTGTTCAAGTTTCAAGTGAGTGAGTCCCTCAACAAGCAACAGAAGGCAGTTCTTTACCGCAGGAGTTGTAGAGTTCTCCTCTGTAACAGGAGCCTGGTTCTATACTGACCATAGATGTATGCCCTTTTAAGTTGTTGAGTTTTATTACAATGGTGTGCGTTTCTTTGTTTTATATGTACACCTCCAGCTTCCTGTCTTGATATGTGCAATATAGTTTCTCATAGTTGGCCTGTCCACAACTGCTATCTCCATTTTTATTTGTTGCGTGTATAAAGGAGATAGGCTTTGTAGACATAGAGCAACGAAGATGTCAATGTTTTGTCAGTTCTCTCCGCTGCTTAAAAAAATGGTGGTTGTAAAGGTATATCGTCGCTTTTAAGGACAAGTGGGCTAACCCAGATTTTGGGGGTTTCCGGAAATCTTCACCCGCACCAAAAGTGGGTGTATACCCTACCTATAGGGTTTCATTGGTGTGTATATTGTTTGGTTATAGAGAAAACTCTCCTTGTCTTTTAATGAGACTGAATAAGGATCCAAAGACTTTAACTTCGATTTTCTCAAAACGGCATTTATCGGGATAGCCCCCTGGTGTTTAAAAACGACCATATATAAGTTTAAGAGTCTGGTATTAAGGGCCAGTGACATCACCTACACAACACAAAGGATGGGGTTGTGAATACAGCAACTTGTTGGACAGCACAGAATCTTCGTCACAAAAACCCCCCGAGATTCGTGTTCTCTGTTCCTTATAATTATGGTTTTACTAATTGCAGAAGAAGACCAAGTTGGGCTGGGTACACACAGACTTGGCCCCCTTCATGTATGCATTACATGGGCAGTTCTTTTATTTTTCAAGAATGCTGCCTTGAAGTTGAAGAATGTTTCTGTGCTTGTGGAGAGCATGCGTCTTTATGGTATCGCTTACATTTGACCCAAATGCGTCCTTATGGTGTCGCTTACATTTAACCCATACTCGTCTGGGTATGTTCGTATGGTAACCATGCTTCCTGCAAGTCTCCATGAGTTTGTGGTGCCGATTATCGATAAAGAACCAGGAAGAGAACGAGGAAGTTCCTGTGTGTTTCATCTCACTCGTACGTCACATCCCATCATATTGTTCACATCAATCACATCTTTATTGCTTGTTCTCCACTTTGATAATTCAATAAAACAGTTGACATTGAGCTCTGGTGTCAGTGTCTGTCTGTGTTCACGTGGTCATTGAGTGTGCCAGTGTTGTAGTTGTGATGTGTTTGTCTGAGAATATAGAGATCATGGGTTTGACTGCTTTGGTCATCTGAGTTTATTCTTTTTTGCTTATTATGTGAATTCTCAGATCATTCAGAATGAAAGAAGTGGTTTTAAATCAGAATATAATAGGTATGCCCTGTCCACCTCTGAACTATTCATTCTTTTACAATCCTGTATCTAACTCTAACTTAGTCTAAGGGCAGAGTGGGTGTATACTGCTCAGACTGTTCCTTGCTAAATCAAACCGTGGCAAAAAAAATGTAAGACTTCCTACAGCGTTAAATAATGTCTGTCTTTGGCTTCAGTTTGTCACAATGAAAAGTCCTACAAGAGCTTCTCAATACTTAGACTAACAAACACCTCTGTAATGATCAGAAACCTTGTCAAGTGTATTTAAAATCTGGTACCAGTATCAATTTATGAAAACTCCATTTTTGGAATGGAGAAAAATAGTAAAAACCTCAGACTTTAGCCTCTATTCTGTCTTTGCTCTAACTTACTTTACTTACAGATGTGAGTTTGATTCTCATGTGAGGTTTTTTGTCCAGCATCTCCATCTGTCTGTTGAGATGTTGTATCCTTCTCAGTCAAGCTTGGCCCCGAAAGGCAGGGTCAATGCTGCTCGACTCCTATGATCCAAATTGTGTGGATGTGGTGTATAGTAAAATATCTACAATTTCAATTACCCATAGAGCTAGAGTCGGGTCATTGACGTCAGTCAGACCTGAAGTGAGGCCAAACCGACACCCTTCTTCAGCTACCCTTGCTTATTTATATTCTGGAGCCATTCACTGCTCGATTGATAATTATTGATTCAATTGCAACGGGGAAGCTTTTCTGTCTGTCTGACAGTTTCATGAAGAAATCTACCTTTGTTTTAGTTTTACGGAACTTGCAACACAGTAAAGTCATATAAGTGCCGAAGATTAGACGTGTTACAAATTACAAGGGAGTAATGAACACATAAAAGGAGGAGGGGCGATAAAGACGATAGATGTTTAATAAGAAAGAAGGAACAAACCACACCAGAGCACCCGCCAACTACCCACAGGAGCCATTTACCGCTCGATTGGTAATTATGGATTCAATTGAATGGGGAAGTTTTTTGTCTATCTGAAAGTTCCTTGAAGAAATCTACCTTTGTTTTAGTTTTTGTAAGTTTTACGGCACTTGCAACACAATGAAGTCATACAAGTGTCAAAGATTAGAGGTGTTTCAAGAGAGTAACAAACACAAAAAAAAGAAGGTTCAAGAAGGAGCGATAACGAAGGTAGATGTTTGATAGGAAAGGAGGAAACAACCATACCAGAGCACCTGCCAACCACCCATGCTTTTCTGTCTCGCAACCTCAGAATTACAATGTTCTTACTGATATTTTTGGCCATTTTGAGTTACTAAGACCACGAAGTCAGGAACCAAATTTTCTACTTGCTCTATCAATATTGTAATTAATTCGGAGTCCTTATCAAAATACAGTCGAACCTGCCTTAACGGAAACCTGTATAAAACGGAAACCTGTCTTAACGGAATCTCCCCGCTCCCCCCTTGATTTATTCCTCTTTAATTACCTGTCTAAAACGGAAACCTGTCCAACGTGGAAACGGAAAGAAAAATCCGCTCCATTTCGAGGGTTGCACCTAAGACGGAAAATGCTTTACCCCTCAGCCCTGATTTGAAACAAAACTCGCAAGTTTGGTTCCGCCGGATCTAAACTTAACACCATGGCCATGCCGCAAGGCGAGGAAGGGAAGTAGGGGTGCAATTTGGGGGTAGATGTTACCCCATCATGTGAGCCCTGAGCGATGCAGATGGTCAATGTAGTGTGGGTGTGAAATCTCACGACTGCCCGTGAGAGTGCTCCAGTAGCAAGCCACTACGGAAACTTTGCTAGGTAGCCAGAAGCCAGAGGTGTAAAATTAGTTTGACCAATGCCGGCCGCCTTGATCGTATGCCAGCCGAGAAAAGAGTTCCTCGAACGGTAGTTACATGATGGCAGTGAGGGATGGCATTGGTTGACTGTGCTTGTTACACCGGTGGGTGGGGCTGTGGAAGCAAAGGGGATGTTCAAACGTTTCTGTTTTTAATAGGTCTAACGGTGGTCCTATGAAAGGCAAGCACTGGTGATAATTGGATATGAAAGACTGACGCATGTCATTATCAGACAGGATAGCAGCTGAGAGGTGTGAAGTTTTGACCACTGCCTGCCGATCGGGCAAGCGATCCTTGATCCCACCGGCTGGGCCTTTGAACCCCCCCCCCCCCCCCTTTCCATCTCCCCCTAAATTCCCGTGTCTAAGACGGAAAATGTCTAAGACCGAATGTTTTTCTGGCTCCCTTGCGATTCCGTCTTACACAGGTTCGACTGTACTTATAGAACTGCATTCGAAAAAGCTCGACATGTTGTGAAACTCATGATTGTTTACACCAAATTTCTCAAAACTTGGTACTGAGCAGACAGAACTTTGTCATTCTAGGGTAGCGGTCTGTCTGAAACTCCCTAGAAGAAATATACTTGGCCTTTAAAATTTCAGAACAATTAACTCCATGTGTAGTTGTGTGCATTCCACTAGAGAAAATAAAAGTAAATCAGAAAAATAAATCTTCTTTAGTTTAAAAAAAGTTTTAGTAGAGGTTTTACTGCGCTCGCAACTGCATAAGGTCATATGAGTGCAAGAAGATTAGAGCTGTTACAAGAGCGTATCAAACATAAAAAAGAAGGAGAGATAAGGACAATAGATGTTTGATCTATAGGAAAGAAGAAACAAACCACAACAGAGCACCTGCCAACCACCCACACAAATCTTCTGACAGCACAACCGAAACTGCAATATGTGGTGGGTTTTTAGTTATGGCATTAGTTTATTGGTGAAATGGAAAAACAAATATTCAACAAACATCATCATAACAACTTGAGGTGACCGGTAAGCTTGTCCAGCTTTGGGATTGGTCCTGTGAAAAGAGGAATTAAAAAGATTGTAAAAAAACCAAAACAACCCTTTTCAATAGCGGAAACATTTAAGTAAGTTGCACTAATTTCTTGTTATAAGTAAAACATGTATTTATTATGTGAACAATAAAGAATGGAATTGAGTCACCGAACGGAGTTCACACCACGAGTCTGGTGAAATGATTATGTTCTCAGTTTGCAAAAGACGTTAGTCCAATTTCAGTAGTCTACCATAAGGGAAAGTTAACAGTCTTCATTTTTCCACTGGAATACAAATCCTACTCAAGACCTGGAAGGGCCCAGCTCTATCACACTGGGTCCAAGTAGCCCATCTCTTGAATGATACTAATTGTTTCTCACACATCACACACACCTGAAAACAAAAGAAGCTACTTGCTTCTCTAACTCTAAACAACACATGACCACAAATGAGCTAATTAACCCTATCCGTACGTGGTGTTTTACTATCGTATCCATACGACGTGGGGAACTCTGTGCCACCACTTTCCAAACAGGAAATTTACTCGTTAATCTGATCTGTACGCTTTGCATAGCAGTCTGTCAAAATGATTTTTTGAGAAATACTAAAAGTTTCAAAGAGATCTTCGTCAGTACTAGAAGTATTGTAAAATGTGAAGAATACAACCCCGGGGGTACAAAATGACCTCAAGGCGTACGGATAGGGTTAAATAAGCTTCCTTCATCCCAGGATTTCTGTGTAGGGAAACAAGAGAGAAGTGAAACTTTTAATTCCTGATTTGCATCCTGGCTCAGAAGATAAACCTCCTTATGCGTTTCTTGGACAAGTGTACCAACTCACAGACGACAGCGATAGGACAGTTGGGATCCAGGTAGACGGACATCTACACCCTTTCAAGTTGGACACTGGTGTTTCAGTTACAGTCATGGGTGAAAAAGACATCAATGTTGCCCCCAATGAACTTAAACGTCCAGACAAACTACTCCATGCTGCGGGAGGACAAAACTTGACTGTTCTAGGTTACACAACAAAGACCTTGAGTCACAAAGACAAGAGAGTGGTAGAGAAAATGTATGTTGTGAAAGGACAACAGCACTCGCTCCTGGGCCGCGATGCATGTGTCAAGTTGGGATTAGTCACTAGAGTACAAGAACTTCAGGAACCGAAGCCAGATTTCAAGCGAGAATTCCCAAAACTTTACTCAGGTCTGGGCAAGTTGAAAGAACCTTACACCATCAAACTGCATGAAAACATAGAGCCATCGCACATCTACACACCTAAGAAAATAGCCCACCCCCTCTTGCCTAAGGTAAAAAACCCCCCAGCTAGAACAGATGTTGGATCAAGGTGTTATTTCAAAGGTAACAGACCCCACAGACTGGTGTGCAGGAATGGTAGTCGTCCCTAAACAAGACGGTTCAATTTGCATATGTGTCGCCATAACAGCTCTCAACAAAGCCGTCAAACAAGAAGTCCATCCTTTGAAGTCCGTAGAGGAAGACCTTGCACAGTTCGCAGGCAGTAAATTTTTCACAAAACTGGATGCAAAATCGGGTTTCTGGCAAATTCCGCTATCAGAGGAATCTCGAAAGTACACTGACTCCATTTGGCTGATTCTGCATGAATAGGCTACCCTTTGGAATTTCATCAGCATCAGAGGTCTTCCAGCGCACAATGGCAGAGATTCTTCGGGAGCAAGATGGCACAGTATGCCACAATCATCACATCAACGACATTATCATACATGCCCCAGACAAAGACACTACGACAAACGAGTACGAGAGGTGATGAAATGTCTCCAAGACGCAGGCCTCACTTTGAATGAAAAGTGTTCTTTTTCCAAGTCCTCGCAAAAATTTCTCGGACACATCATTGACGCTTCCGGCATCCATGCCGACCCAGATAAAGTCAAAGCCATCATTGAGTTTCTGCAACCACAAGATGTTCCAGGCCTACAAAGGTTCCTTGGCATGGTCAATCAGATGACCAAATTCACTCCAGGATTAGCACCAATAACAGACCCTCTACGCTCGCTCCTCAAAAAGGAAAATGAATGGATATGGGAACAACCACAGGTAAATGCCTTCAAAACTATTAAAGAACACCTCACAACAACCCCAGTGCTAGCACACTACTCCCCAAAACTGAAAACCATCATTGCAGCCGACGCATCGAAAGGAGGATCAGGAGCTGTTCTTGTTCAAGTCCAAACTGATGGTTCCAGAAAGCCTGTGAGTTGCATATCTCGCACTATGACGGAGGCTGAGAAGCGGTACGCAGAGATCGAAAAAGAAGCATTGGCAGCCACTTGGACTTCCGAAAGATTCAGTGAATATATACAAGGTATGGAGTATACCAGTGAAACGGACCACAAGCCCCTCGTTGCCCTTCTTATGTCTAAAGAGCTCTACAAGCTCCCATCACGCATTCTGAGATTCCGCCTTCGACTTGCCCGATTCAACCCAGAAGTTATTCATGTCTGTGGAAAAAGCCAGATCACAGCTGACACTCTTTCAAGAGCTCCGTCAAGTGACTCCAATTTAGCAGACATTTATTTTCATGAAGAAGTTCAAGCCATGGAGGAGCAAGCCTTTAACTCACTTCCAGCAACCTCAAACAAAATTGCAAAAATAATCCTCCACCAAAAGGCTGATGCGGAAATTGCAGAAGTTTGCAAATACTGTGACATTGGATGGCCGACATATATGCCTGCCAACACACTTCTGAAGCATTATTGGTCTAACCAGCAACATTTCACGATTGCAAACGACCTCCTTCTTTTCAATGATAGAATCGTCATCCCACGAGACCTGAGAATAGACATCCTCAATCAGCTTCACGAAAGTCATCTCGGAATTTCCAAATGCAGAGCATTGGGTCAGAACTCAGTTTGGTGGCCCAACATCTCAAGCGAAATTGAAAACATGATAAAAAAATGTCTGATCTGTGCTAAACTGAGACTGGACGTTAGAGAACCACTTCTTCTGTCCTCCTTCCTGAACCGACCCTGGTCACGAGTGGCAGCAGACTTGTTCTATATCAAAGGCAAAAACTACCTGGCAGTAACGGATTACTATTCTTGATGGCCAGAAATAAGGATATTAGAAGAGCTGTCAAGTGGACATGTGATCATCAAACTGAAATCCATCATAGCGACACATGGAATACCCGATGTCATAGTCTCAGACAATGGGCCCCAATTTGCAAGTACGCAGTTCCAAAAATTTGCTAAAAACTACGGTTTTACCCACATTACCAGCTCACCCCGAAATCCCCAAAGTAATGGCATGATTGAGCGAGCCATTCAAACTCTTAAAAATCTATTGAAAAAGGCTGACGACCCCTACATTGCACTTTTAAATTACAGGGCCACTCCTCTTCTAAACAAATTTTCTCCCAGTGAGCTTCTAATGGACCGGAAATTGCAGACAAAAGTGCCCATCATGGAACAAAAGCTACACCCTCAATCACCAAATCCGGTGCTTCTCCAAGAAAGGGACAATAAGTACAGAGAAGACATGTACAAGTAATACAACATGCGCCACCTCGCCAGAAAACCACAGCTTAGTTTGAACCCTGGAGACAACATCTACGTCAAAGACATGGGATGGAATGCAAAAGTAATCAAACAACACCATAGCCCGAGATCATACATCATTCAGCCAGACAACAGTGACTCACCAACACGGAGGAACAGAAAAACCCTCATACCAACTGATCCTCAGGATGAACAAATTATAGGCCTACCCATGTAAGACCATGAACAGATACAGAATACTCCGGTGGTTCACAGCGAGCCCCAACCTTTGCCTCTACAACAACAGCCGTTAACTCCTTAAGCTACCAGCACCAGCAGCTTCGGGAGGACCATCAAGCCACCACAGAGGCTTGACTTGTAAAACATCTCAGGGAGAGATATAAGGACAACTCACAGGAGCTGAGTCTTGTCTTTGAACATTTATTTTCATTTTCATTCCACTTTTATTTCCTCATCACCTTTGAGTTATTGTGCAAACAAGACAGTTTGCAAAGTGTATAGATTCAGATTCAGATTTACATTTCATTGGTACTCGACAAACATTGAGAGTTTTAGTGAAGGGACACCACTGCTTTAGGGAGGGAGATGTAGTATTATGTGTACTTTGGCACCTAACGTCAAACGGACAACTTGGCAACCCGAGGGGACCCACGTAAGTAGACGAGCGAGACTTCCGGTTCCGGACCTGGACTTGAGGTAAACACAACACCACCCTGCAAATCCACAATGCAACTTCAAAACAAGCTTTGTAAGTGTGGGCAAGAAAACGCCTGCAGAAAAATTATTCAGTCAGGCACAGATAACAATGAACGGGGAAAACTAAAAATCCTACAATTTGTCATTCCGTGACTGATATTTCTTTGATATTTTGTTACACCCATTTACCCAAATTCCGGACGTAACGAACACATCTGTTAATCCTTGAAATGTTTAAGATAAGAGTTATCTGTGTTCGACTGTATTTCTAAAACATGTCTGTGTCTTTACCTGGTCCAACGGCAAGTACAGTCTTAGAGCCCGGGGCAATCTGTGTCCGGCCAGCATCACTGATCAGGCACGTGTTCACGTCTTCTTTCTGTGCCGTTCTCACTATGTCAAAGCTGGAACAGAAACAAAACTCCATTATTATCAGTGCAAAAAAATTTTTTAAGGGAAAAATTACTTACTTATTACTTGGTTGGAGAATAGGCATCATTGCAGGCGGCACAATGCCATAGCTGCTCCTCCCTCCTCTCCAGGATCTATGAAAGGGTTTGCCTGCTGATTGTGCCAGTTATCAGCTGACTGGATATTATTCCGGCTTTTCCACGCAGGTGACTGTCTCTCCCCAACCCTCTAGAGACACCAGCTTCCCTTAGTCTATCCATTGTATTTAAACATAATTACCAACTCTATTACAGCAAAACACAGGAAATAACCCAGGTATTGATAATGAATTTCCTGATAGGATGATTATTACCAATCCTCAATGCATCATTTTGAAATATATACAGTTGGGCATGAATAACTCAAACACATTGAGGATTGACAAATGTTTTTGACTTATCCATAATTTGGGTTCACCAATAATGAAAAATTAAAGACGTATCAGTTAGGGAATGACACGAACTTCCGTTGTAATATGAGCTTACAGCACTTGAAACACAATAAGGTCATATATTAGTGCCGAAGATTAGAAGTGTTACAAAAGAGTAATAACAAATGCAAAAAAGGAAGAGGAAAGATAAGGATGATAGATGTTTGATAGTAAGAGGAGAGATGGAGCATACCACACCAGAACACCTGAGAATCACCCACTGCATGAACTTAATTCAAGCACGCATGCACCCACGCACACACGCACGGACACACACACACGCAAATGCTTCTGTCCCACCCCTCTGACGAAACAAAGGAAATCTACTTTGCACCAGTGGTGATACAATACTCACAAAGCTGCTTCGTCTTCCACTTTGACCACTACCTTGGGTTGACCCTGTTTCTGCCAGTGTCGGAGAGCCGCCATGTTGGAATAGGCCAGCTTTTCCACGGCACCGACTGCCGCGTGGGAGCACTGAGAATAAGGAGGCATGATCAGACATTACACAGCAATGAAAACATCTTTGATTGGTTTTTGTTGACTGTCATTTTGTCAATATTTCCCGCCCCATACAAGGCACAAACCACATTGTGACGGAGGGCAGGCAAGCCCTCTCCTGACCATTGACCTGACAAACAGAATCTCACTCCAGTCCAAACACCAAACATCCAAGAGTAAGTCCAGTTTGTGGCTGACAACACAAACTACAAACACAGGTAATTCTTTACATAATATGTTATATATACAGCAGAACATGAATATAGCGGCACCCGCTGCAGTGGGACCATCCCTACAGCGGGGCCTTACCAGAATCCCCCTCTTTTGTCTTAATAAACTGAATTAATTGTGCTTGGCGGGAGAGATCGAGCGAGCTCTAACTGGGGGAAAGCGGTTGGGGGTGGGGGCTGTAGGTGGGCTCCAAACAGGCAGTCAGCGGTGCGGCGTTGCGATCGGCCAGTCCAGTGATGAGTGAGGTGCGGCAGGCGGCAGAGAGAGATGGTGCGGAGAGACACGTTACATGAGCCACTCTAAAAGTGATGTGCCATAGCCCAAGGCCTAGGCTAGGCCAAAAAGACAGTAAAAGAGGAGGAGAGCGTGTAGTGCGTGATTTTTCGGTAATTCCCCTTTGCATTCCTATAGCGGGAACTTGCCGACAGCGGGATTTTTCTTCTGGAAATAAAAGTCCAGCTATAGCTATGTTCTACTGTACTGGGGCATATTCTTCCAAAATCTGCTTAATCTAGGCTACTCAAATCAGTCAGTTGTTTACCACTTGTTTTATGATATATCAGCAATATGATCCCACAAACATTGTGACTTTACTTTAAGAGCTTTCAGATGAAACATTCAACAGCATACCCTTTCCATACATCCCCAATATCAGTCACAACAGAATTATTGTAAAACAAAACGACTTTGAGCAATTAAAAACTAATGGCCCAGTTACACGTAAGGATGTCAGATTCGTTGTATGCGAGAACTGTCCGTTTTGTCAAGCTGAGTAGTCTGTTTAGACGTTCCAATCTATTGTCCAGTTTTCTTTCGATCAGGGAGATTCCTAGTCATTGACTTGACTGCAGATGTGCAACGCACCGGGTGACCTTGATACACAATTTCACTATTGACGATCAACTAAGTAATAAAATTGCTAAAATATACATAACATATCAAATCAGGTTACTCGAGAGCAACTTGGCTTATTTTGAGATGCTGATTCCGAATTATGAAATCAGTTTCTACCTGTGATTATTATTTTTTACATTTTGAGCCCTAAGTTTAAACCTGTGCAGCAGCAAATTTCAAAATGATTCTACGTCACAGCGCGTCTCCCCCAAATCTGACTGTGATCGCACGTAAAATATTAAAACAACGCTTGATTTTTCGACCGAGTCTCCAAGAAATTGTCCACTCGTCCAAACTTTGTACAATTTTGTGGATAAACCTGACGATTTGTCTCATGATAGATATATCATCCAGTTTTTGAACAATTTATTGTTGCATGTACCCGGGGCTTAACACAAAAATTACAAATTTATATTATTAAAATGTTGGATGGCATGATGGCGATAGAAACAAAAAAAGGGGGGGGGGGGGAGGGGAGAGGAGAGAGCATTTTTCTGATTTCTAAACTAGAAAGATTTGCCATAAGAACATTATAAAACAAGTCAAATGCAATGAAAATAAATACTGGTAATTTTTTTGTTTGTTTGTTTTTGTAAAGTGTTTTACCGCGCTCTCAACTGCATAAGGTCAAATGAGCGCGCGGGACACACCTAATATTTTCAGTTGGTAGGAAATTTTGAATATTGCCCGGGCGGCGGCCGAAGCATACTCTTATCGATTTTAGACCATCAAGGGATTTTTAACGTGCGCAACTTGCACACGGGCCCTCCGAGATTTTTCGCCCTTGTTCGAGAAGGCTAGGTGTAGATTTTTCCTACCAGAAGATCAGGGGTGTGGCTGAAAGACAGCAGTGAGAAGATGCGAAGGAGTAGCAGTAGAAAGGCTGCAGAAAGAATCAGGAGCCCAGAGGAAGGGGCAAAGGAGGTGAGGGGTGGGGGCAGAAAGAGGAGACGAAAGCAGACGACAGAACATTGCTAGAGAGCAGGAAATGGGGTGAAAAGAGACAAATTTAACCTCTAGGCCACGAGAGCCCCCACTGGTAATTTAAGAATACACAGATTAAAACTACTACTATTAAAATTTTATAAAGATATTCTGTAACTTTTCCTCAATAGTTTTGCTATAATAAGATGTATTGTCAGGTATAAAGATCCATCATCGACATGGAAGCATATAACTAAAAATACTTGTACAAAAATTAAAATGCTGACCAGAACTCGGCCACAAATTACTTTTAACAGTGTTGTACCTGTGCAGCAATTTTTCCTTTGCCCATTTTCAAGTCATTACGGACAACAAGGATCATTTTGTAATCTCCCGACACCTTCACAGAAGCATCTCCCTGGGCAGCCTGAGAGAAGAAAGAAGCCAGAAAAAATATTGGCACAGACAGCAAATGATCAGAAAATATGGCTCTGTGTAATAAGGAGCTTAAAATCAACCCACAAAAAGTTGCATTCATTAAAAAGATCATATTTTTAATCAGTCTTTCATCTGTTTATAGCACAGTGAGAAAAAAATGCTTGGCAAGTAGACAATTTTCAGTTAATAATCACTAGCCAAAGTAAAACTAAGGATTAAAATGGGACCACTTTGAATCCATGCCATATTGACAATCAAAGGAAAAGACTTCTTCAACAAACATGACCATTCTGCTATGAATGATATTTTAAAACGAAATAAACATTATTTTTATCTTTCAATACCAAACAAACATATCATTTAACCCTATCCCTAAGTTGTGTTTTACTATCGTATCCATACGACGTGGGAAAATCTGTGTCACCATTTTCCAAAGCGGAAATTTACTCGTTAATCCGATCTGTACGCTTTGCACTGCAGTCTGTCAAAATGATTTTTTAAAGAAATACTGAAAGTTTCAAAATGACCCCAGGGCGTACAGACAGGGTTAATAACAATTCCATACAACCATGTTTAGTGGTTTCACAATCAGCAATACATACATTTGCACTTGCATTCTGCCGAACAGCAGTTGCTGAGAGAAATGGAATCTTTTTCAGCAACAGTCCAGCTGAAAATCCTGCCCCAAAGCACAGAGCCAGAACAAGATTGGGATGGCTTCTCACCAACTCAGACAGATCCATGGCTCCTCCACTTGAGCATAGAACAAGGCTGCAATGATGATAAAACCTTGTATGAAAAAAGAAAATGACAGGAAATCATGACGAGTTGATACTGCGCACTACCAAGTGTGTATTATTAACTCAAATTCTTTTTTTCTTTGCATTTTAAAAGTTTGTGGGTTATCCATGTGCGGATGTGTGTGGGCTACAGTAAACAAAGTATGAAACTAATTATAAAAGTAGGCTAATATAAATGACTATTTAGGAGTTTAAAGCCTAAAATAGTGGGTGGTTGGCGGGTGCTCTGGAGTGGTTTGCTCCTTCTTTCGTATAAACATCTTATCATCCTAACAAATCTCTCCTCCTTTTTTGTGTTACATGTATATACTCTCTTGTAACACATCTATTTGGCACAATCCTTATTCGTGTTGCAAGTACCGTAAAGCTCTTAGGCCTTCTAAAACTAAACTAAAAAGCCTAAAAATAAATATCCTTGATGGCCATGCGACAACACTCAGCAGATGTCCGAGACATACGGAGATCGAGCCATCAGCCATGCCAAGGCCAATGGCCCAAGCCATAGAGCATATTGGGCTTGGCAGATCTGCGACTGAATAGAGATGAAAGAAGATGTATGCTAGATTTAAACAACATTCTTTCTAGAAGCAAACACTCGGACTCAGGGAGTAAAAAATTTCAAAATGAGCGACCACTAGACTAAGGGGAGGAATTCAGTTACGAGCGACAACTATGAAACTGAGTAGGCTAGAGTAGAGGGTTACGGTTTAGGAAGGCGAAGGCCTTGGGAAGGACTTTTCTGTAACGAGCGACCTCCCCAACAAACAAAATGAAGAAGAGAGCATTTTAACTATCTAGATTCTAGATCTAGACTCTAGGTCTAACCATAACCCAGACCCTAACCGTAGCTCGTAGCCTACTGAACTAACTTGTAACTCTAACCCTGGGCATGGGCTAGATCTAGATCTAGGTCTAGATCTAGTTGATCTAGATCTAGATCTAGATCTAGTCTAATCTAGATTCGATTCTAGATAAAGAGTTAGGGTTTAGGCTATGGTTAGGGAGTTCTTCCCATTATGGGGCCCATATTATCCAAAGAAACAAGAACAGCCTAGGCTACCGCCTACCTGAAAATCTAGAAGGCTCTCTTTTTGATGTCCCTGTCTCTTTCCTTTTTAGCCTTTAGAATAGCAGAGGCTATGCTGTTACAGTGCTGTTGCTCTATGCTAGATTAAAATGGAAGTCGAGAGTGCTGTCCCTTGTTGTTAGTTCCTTTAACCAATTTGTGAATGGTTCTGGCGAATTTGTTCAAAATAGGAATTTTACTTAAGCCAAGTAGGAATATTTTTATTTTTGGCCTATGCAGTTTGCCGTATGAAGCGGAGTACGAATATGAATTGCAGTATTAAGTCATTCTGAACACTGAACACTGAACACTACACTGAACAACATGGCAGCGCCCAGCCCTCTCTCACATGAAAATCTGAGCTACAAACATCCTACCTCGAGTCCGTCGTTCATACGGAAAGCCGTGAAGGCGAATGTTCAATGTAAGACCTCCCCAAAGGAGTTTGTGTCACTGGTCGTGGTACTAGTGGTAGCCTACATTATTATGGTCACAGGTTTTCACTCAAAATTGCTTTTACTTTTACTCTTTTTTGACTCTCACCATTCATTCATGAGAGTAGTATAGTTCAGTACTCAATCCTTGTCTAGGCAGACCAAAGTCCAAGCCCCAGCCCGGGCTTTTGAACTATTTTCAGAATGTTTGTCGCAGCAAAAGAGTTTAACACAAGGATGGTGAGGCAGAAAAACAGTCACAGTGCCATGTACTTCTTACGGCTCGTACCCACCAAATACCAACCAAACATCCGTATTCATGTAGGATCTAGTGCTGGGCGGTACCGGCGAAAGGAGTGACTCCAGGAGGTGACGTCACAGACTTCGTGTCTCGCGTCTAACGACACGATCAGCACCGCCCGCCCCCCCCCCCCCCCCCCACACACACATCAAAATTGGAGAGGCGAACTGTGAATTAAAATATGTTTGAAGTTTGCAGCTGTGCAGGATAAGAATTTGCATGCAGAATTTTAAAAAAATAGCGCTGCTAAAAATTGATTTCACTTTCGGAATGATCAGCGTATCAAAATTTAAGCAAAGTGGCTCGCATGGAACCTGATTTGATGCCACAGATCTATTTAAATTTAAAAGCAAACTTCATTTTTGATTGTCAATTTTGAATCTGAAGTCATACTTTATCAAGGTCTCCCGCTGCATTCTTGTGTGCATCTGACATCACAGCTGCTAGATCTAGGTCTAGGCCTACACACAGCACACTTCCCGTGGCCCGTTAAAAAACCGTTGGGCCGCTTTACGTTCTTACTCTCTGAGCATCTAGGTGTCGGCTCCTTCCCAGAGCCGGTTCTACCGTTGGTGTCGCCTCCTTCTCAGTGCCGATACTGACACCTCCTTTGGTAGAACCGGCTGGTACTGGGTACCGGTACCTGCCCATCCCTAGTGTGGTATCGTGCTTTCGTCTAAATTAAATCTTGAACATGTGCCCATTCACACCTCTATCATCCGTCTATTCGTACGTTATCGTGCATGTTTTATATCAACATGGAAGTTAGGACTGAGAACACAGTTCAAAGAGTAGCATATTTTTATATGATTGCACTTTACCTCATGGTCCTCGTGTATTGGACTCGGTGAGGGAGTGGTCGGTCACAACATGAGAGCAGACGGGTGAAATTTTATAGCTGCAATAAAACTCACCATAAGCACGAATGACAACTATTCCGTATTGCATGAACAAGAACAGTTGGGGGAACATAGAAAGGGCCCAGATAAGTAATAAATTCTTTCATGCGTCCCACACACGATATCACACAAACGCGGATGTTTGGTGTGAATGAGCCGTTAGACAATTCACATCCACACCCTACACTTGAAGTTATTAGCACAATTACGAATGTGAAATTAACTATTATTTTTCTTGACGAACACAACATTACTACTACTGCACTGCAGCCTAGCTATGGCTTTCTAAATACTATCGCTAACTACTTTGTGTAATGACCCTGTGGAATCAAGCATCGTGTGTCAATTGTGGGTCATGTGGAATTGTCACCTTAAACTTTCCTAACTTTCAAAGTGGAAATATCCATAGGGCCTATGATTTATCTTGAACTGGAATAATAAATCAAGCTGTCTATATTTTTGTAATTGAAGGAGGTAGGGGTCACCGGGTTTTAGAGTTAAAATAAGTGAGAAAATGGCTGCCAAATTCGGTAAGTTACATTACCTATAAAAAAGTATAAAAGACGCCTTTGAAACTTAAAATGTATTTCTCTTCTACTTCTAACCAATGTTTTTTATTAAAATTTACAAAAAATTTTTATCAGGTATTTTTAAATGGACTCAAAAGGTGTTGAGGCAAAAAACAAAAATTAGATTAAAATTGCCATATATTTGTGAAAAAATGGCAATATAATCTTTGATTTCATTATTTTGATAAATGACTGATTTCAGTCACAATGCCTCACACTTTTTGTTCAAGTACAATAATTTTAAGTCCATGCTAAGTTGCAATCTGTCTCAGTTGATGGTTTTCGTTTTGCAGCTGGGCAAAAATGTCACAGGGAAAGACTCATCCTATCAAAACGACTGAAAGTGGAAACTTTGGAAGACGCTGGGACGTTGTTGTCTGCACAGGAAGAATATGAAATGGTATGGTGCTCAGTGCTGTTGATGTTTTTATTTCTACATTTGTTGTTGTTATTTGTTGTCTTTGAAAAATCATAATTTGAAAATTTAAAATGTTCAGGTGAATGGGTTTTACGTTTCCCCATGTTTCTTCCTTGACTGAAAATGTAAAATGTGTGCATTTTGAAGTTTTTGTGTATGAAGCTTCGAAGTGTCTGTGAGTCTTTAAGAGAGAGATAAGGGTTGGGGAGGTTCTTGTGAACATGTAAGTGTCAGCAAACAGTTTATAATTCATTACAGTTATGATAAAATAGTAATTGACAATGTGACTTATGTAACAGATGCACATTTTTTAAGAGGCATCAGTCACTAGTAGTGTGAATCCCACAATAATTATATGGACACGCAATTTTGTTCAAATTAGTGCTAACTAATACTACTCATGCAAACAGCAAGAGGGCATTGAGGAAAGAAGATATAAAAGTTTTTTCTGTCAGAGCTGTTAGAACAAGATGAATATATCATATACTCCCACGGAAGTTTCAACCCATCTCAAAAAGTTAATCAACCTTGGCTCAAAATAGGCTGTAAATTGTCATGTGGAACATGGAGACACACAAGTCCGACAAAATCTCGTCCTCTGACTTTGTGTAATCAGGGCAGACTATGACAGAACACGAGACATGAGGGGGTTGTAGATCCACTTTGATAGAATTTTGACTAAAAAAGGTATGAAATACAAAAAAATGTTTCAACTTTGAAATAAAGAGATGTGAATTGGCTCACATGTTCATGACTGTGTGTATAACTTATTCATGTTTATTAAGGCCAGTGTGTGATTGACTTCTCTATAAATGTGCATTTTTGTGAGCAGCTTATCGAATGGGACCTTGTCTGTGTGCATGTGTCGTAGACTTCCTGCACATGGTCATGAGGTAGGCCATGGATTTGTCGGAATGATGAGAAGTAATAGACGTACCTACCATCTTTTTCAGACCGAAAGTGCCACAAAGTTACTCAAGTCTGGCAGGAAGGTGGATGCCCTGACCACACTCCACAGAGCGCTAGCCAGGGACGAGAGCAATGCCAAGACGTTCATAAAGTAAACATTTCCCTCTCGCTTTTTTAGACTCGTACACATGTGTTTATTTCTGTCCCCATCGTTTTATGTAAGAAAAATTTTGAAATTATGCGAACTGAGCCCAAAAATGTGAAATTGTGCGATTCTGTTAATTTTAACAAAGGAAAATAATCAGACATTATGAAAAAAATGATCAAATTTTGCTAAATTGTGCGGGGTGCATAAAACCACGGGGACTGTTATTAGTTCGTTCAGCTTCCCTTTTGTGTCCACACTATCAGATGTTTTTGCAATTTTGAAATGAAAATGTTTTTTTCTAGTGGGTGCTCTGGTGCAGTCTGGTCTGCTCCTTCTTTTCTGTCAAATATCTATTGTCTTTATCTCTCCTCCTCTTGATCGATAACAACATTATCTCTCCTCCTTTATTGTGTTTATTACTCTCTTGTAACACATCTATTCTTCAGCACTTATATATATGACTTGATTGTGTTGCAAATGTCATAAAAGACTTACTAAAACAAAAAGGTTGTATCTGATCTGTCTTCTCTACCTGTCTATCTGTCTTATCTGTCTCAACATTTAATATCTAGTTGTAAGTCTATCCTATCTGTTATTTATATCTGTTTGTCCTACTATACTACTGTTTATTATATTATCTCTGTCCTTCATGTATGTGTGGGTGGTTGGCGGGTGCTCTGGTGTGGTTTGCTCCTTCTTTCCTATCGAACATCTATCGTCCTGATCTCTCCTTCTTTTTTCTGTTTGTTACTCTCTTGTAACACCTCCAATCTTCGGCACTTATGTGACCTTATTGTGTTGCTAGTGCTGTAAAAACTCTTATTGAAGTATGTATGTTTTGAAGACATCCTGTATGTCTTTCTGTTTGTCCGTTCATTTGTCTACGAATTGCCTGAAGTGGGTGGTTGGCGAGTGTTCTAGTGTGGTTTGCTCCTTCTTTCTTATCGAACGTCTATTGTTCTGATATCCCGTCCTTCTTTTTTGTGTTTGTTACTCTCTTGTATCATCTTTAATCTTCAGCACTTGTATGACCTTATTGTGTTGCAAGTGCTGTAAAAACTCTTATTGAAATGAAAACAATTGCCTGAAACATCCTCATTTATCTACTTTCATTGTGCTATCAGACTGGACGAGCTAACTACGTTGATTGGTTGATTCTGTCCAATATGACCCTATTGTGTTGCAAGTGCCGTAAAAATCTTACTAAACTAAAATAATTGCCTGACACATCCTCGTTTATCTCTACATTATTTGTGCTTTCAGACTGGACGGGCTACCTGCGTTGATCGGCTGTTTCTTCGCCCCTGACTCGGAGATCCTCCACGCTGCGGCCTGGTGTGCCATCAATCTCACGGCTGGCATGTCACTGTCACTGAAACGTGTCAAGTTGTTGTCGCCAATCCTCTTTCAGTTCTTGCAAGGATCAGACGTAGCGATGCAGGTAGAACACACCATTGTTTTTGTAGTTGTCTTTTCTCTTGTGCATAAAAAAGTAAATCAAAGAATGTTCCTTTTAAAGAAATTAAGAAGTTTCCATGTTGATAATAAGATTAAGTCTCTTTTGTACCATTCTATGATTGAAAGCGTGCTATTATTTTGTATTTGCTGCTGGGGTGGGAATTGTAAGGCGAAAGATAAAGAACAATTTGACAGTACCATTAAGAAAGCCAGCAAGGTCTCTGGATATGATTTTACTTGAATTGATGAAATGTATAACACCACAAGTATAAAAAAGATAAAAAGCTTTATGAATGACCCATCACACCCCTTTTCCACGCAAATTGTAAGATCACGCAGGGGCAGATATGTGCCTCCAAAAACAAAGAAAGAAAGGTATAAAAGGAGTTTTTTACCATCTAGCATAAGTCTATTGTCAGAATAAGCATAATCATGTGTATTACTATTACTCTTTAGAGTATGTATCTATGAGTATATAACTCCTGAGGTCTGGTATTCAAATTCCTGCATTAGGTTGAATGATGCATCTGATGTGATACGTACATTTTGTCAGCTTTACTTCTCTTTTCACATTGAATTTTAATGAGGGTAATATGTAATTTAATTCTTTTATATTTACCTGCATGTGTTTTTACAGTCCTGTGCAGCCAAGAATAATTTCCCTCTGGGATAATAAAGTATTATCTTATCTTATCTTATGAAAGATGAATAGAAAGAAAAGCCCCGAATGTTTTCACAAACTTAAATGTGAGTCAGCTAAAAAAAATCCCCAAAGGATAGTGAAGGAGGGGTGCCACATTTCGCCATTGTGGTTTCTTCATCATCGCCATCATTATCATCATCATCATTATGATATCATTATCCTAATACATTATTAAAAGCTAAATTTTAGAATTGAACCTAATGTTTGAAATGTCGTTGTGCACATTCTCATATTTAAGAATCATCAAGCACCAACTCCATACACAGTCACACACTCATGCACAGACTCAAACACACACATACATTCACACACACACACACACACACACACACACACGCACATATACATTCACAGAGACAGACACATACAGACACACGCACACATACATACACACACACTCACACACATACACATGCACACATGCATACACACGCAGACACACACACACACACATACACACACGCCCTCACACTCACACCTTCCACAATGACATTCATATTCACATGTGGGCTTTCTCCCCTTTGAATTAAACGTTATGAAATAGAATATTAGATGAGCCTCTTTTGTACTTTACAAGTTCTTGGGCTTCTAAAATGTTTGTTGACGTATCGCTCTAATGACAATGTTGTTCACCAATGTCTGTTCCCATTACAATATTGACAGTGTTACTCACAATCCACGAATCTCATCAAAGTGTGGATAGTGTTTGTGTTCTAGGTGGGTGGTTGGTGTGTGCTCTGGTGTGGTTTGCTCCTTCTTTCCCATCAAACATCTATTGTCCTCATCTCTCCTCCTTTTTTCTTGTGTATGTTTCTCGCTTGTTATACCTCTAATCTTCGGCTCTTATTTGAACATATTGTTTTGTAAGTGTCGTAAAACTCTTACTTAAACTAAAACAGATGTGTGCTAGTCATCGGTCCGTTTCTCTCCATCAGGAATTGTGTGCTTGGGCCCTCGGGAACATAGCAGGAGACTCGGCGTCCCACAAGGACCTTCTTGTTCAGCAAGGCTGCGTGCCCGCACTGACAGAATTAGTTTCAAAGGTATGTTACCCTAGGTAGTCAGTTTTGATTTGTTTGTTATCGACACGTTCATTGTTGACACATTGGATGGTAATTGATACATTGTCAGATTTTATTTAATGATAACAAATGACTTTTATATAGCGCTCAACCCCGATTAAAGTACACAGGCTCTGAGCGCTTTACTATACAGTACAACGTACTACAGTAACATAAAATGTTGCGTTCTGACTAAATTACCTACATATCAACATTTTAAATTCGTGGTCTGTTATAAAATAAAGTTTTCTTTTATGAAATTGCACAGGTTGTTCACATATCTATCTCGTCTCATGGGTCAAACATTGCGTGTTTCTGTCACTGAGACGAGAATTGATATGTGTGCTATCAAAATATTCTTTTTTGACATTTGGAAGATAATATGTGCCTAGCCGGTTCTGATGTTTATTCCAGGGGAACTTAACATTAAATGGGGAAGTTGACTAAACTGGTTGGCTGAGGGAGTTGTACTGAGTGAAATCACAGTAGCCTGTCATCTGAGGGGTTCTGAACAAAAATCACTTTGCTCATAATGCTTATATGTGCAACTAGCTCGGCCTCCTTGATAAAAGGAATAATCGGTGCAGTAACATCAACTGAAAGTCATTGGCCTACTATATTTACACTCTCCTGGGTAATGGGGCAGTAAATCTTGAGAGATGCAAAAAATTAGAAGGTCTAGATCTATACTCTCAAAACAAAATGCGCCTCTCGAAATATCACTTCTGGCACTTCCGTTGTGAAGGACAGCTATGCAGATTTGTTTAGTTTCTCAGTGGAATAATCACAAAGGCCAAAGAAGGACGGGAACTTTTTGTCAAATATGTTTTTCTAAATTCAGGAAATGAATAAATAAAAACTCAGGCTCCGTCATGGGGACCTATCTATCTTTTTGCACGTACATACCAACTTTCAACTCTGTAGCTGTTGTAGTTTTATGGGAAATTTGACACATATGTCTCAAAGTTGCCAAATATATAATAGATACATGTATACTGTATAGGAATACATAGAATTTTCTTGTGTGTGGAGGCTTTGTAATGCTACTTTTTTTGTTAGTAGTCAGTCTTACTGTTTCTTGACAAGACCACCTATTGCTGATGGTGCTGCTTGCTTTCCATATATCTATTGCAGTCACATCGTGTGATGTATGAAGCAAGAACGCACAGCGTGTTGTTTGCGCTCGCCAATATAGCGCGCGGATCATATGACTGTGTCAGGTAAATACTTTTCTTTTGCTCATAATTTCTGTCTTCTGTAATTAAGATATGAAAGGATAAGTCTTTATTATCCACACACTGGCACATTGGTTTAGTGTTTTACCGCATTATTCACACACTTGCACTTACACACAGATACACTCACACACACACATTTAATTATGCACACATGCACGCACACACACACACACACACACACACACACACACACACACACACACACACACACACACTCCACTCACAAACACACACATCCACACGCACAGACGCTCTCACACACACATACATTCATACTCAAACACATGCTCTCTCACACACCCTCTCTCCTGTACACATATACACATACAAACATATACATAATCACACATGATATATGTTTACACTCACAAACAAACCCACAGTCATACACGTATGATTGGCGCTCATATGACCTTATGCAGTTGCGCTGTAAAAAATAAAAAAACACACTTATGATATAAATGAACAATTGTTAACAATAGAGTATTTAAGTTCAGGTAGATACTTAACCAGTATATTCATAGTTTCTGAGCAAAATTGATACTAGCATTTATTCTTTTTTGTTCTAAAATGGTAATTTAAGAAGGCTCTCAAGTTTAAAATTTTTTTTTATTCCTTTGTTAATTGACACCTCTCTTCCATGCATCAAATCTTGAAGCTAGGGCTTTTCTTGTGGGAGTCCTACTGCTTGCGAATAGATGCGCTTTTTATCTGCATATTACATGGAGACATTAGAACGCAAACTGAGATGGTATGGGCCCATAACAAGATCAACAGGACTTGCAAAGATGATCCTATAGTGCACCACCGTACAAGGAAGCAGAAGGAAAGGCAGACAAAAAGAGGGATGGGAAGACAACGTAATAGAATGGACAGGCTTAAAGTTTTATGAAGCCCTTCAAAAAGACTAAAAATAGAGAAGGATGGAGAGAAGTGGTTGCCCGATCATCTTTGGTGCCCCAAGGGTCGTCTAGACTAAGGGATAGATAAAGAAATGATAAAGACATGGGAACGCGAGCTTTTAATTTCCCTCTGCAAATGTTTTCCGAGCTTGTCAACTGTCCCAAATTTCCAGGGACTCCTGGATTTGGCAATCTGGAATTTGAGAGCTGATGTTGTTTTATTTACAAGAGACTTATATACACACATGTGCACATTAACAATAAAAACCCCCCATTAGTTTAACCCTATCCGTACGTCGTGTTTTACTATCGTATCCTTACGACGTGGGGAACTCTGTCCCACCACTTTCCAAAGAGGAAATTTACTTGTTAATCCGATCAGTACGCTTTTCATAGCAGTCTGTTAAAATGATTTTTTTTAGAAATACCGAAAGTTTCAAAGAGATCTTCGTACTAGAAGTATTCTAAAATGTGAAGAATACAACCTCAGGGGTACAAAATGACTCCAGGTCGTACGGATAGGGTTAACAGGACTCTACTTTGCATGCAGGTGTCGTGTAACTGAGTCGCTACAGCTTTTCACATACACTGCACCAAAATAGCAGTCCTACTTGTCTGGGCGTTTCCTTTACCAAACCAGACCATCAATAATGTTTTATTTATAGAGACACCAGCCAGTGGGTGGTTGGTTGGTGCTTCGGTGTGGTTTGCTTCTTCTTTCCTATCAAACGTCTATCGTCTTTATCTCCCCTCCTTTTTTTTTGGTGTTTGTTACTCTCTTGTAACTCCTCTAATCTTCGGCACTTATATGACCTTATTGTGTTGCAAGTGCCGTAAAACACTTACCGAAACTAAAACTAAAAAAGGCACCAGCCATCCATGTCTAGTTGCTGTTTTGGCTTTTTCTCCTGTCTGTGAATTTTTTTTTTCCCCAGTTAGATTCTATCTTTACTTAATGTACCCTGTATTTATATGATTTTTAACATGGAATCCGCCTATATATATGTGTCACGACGTGGTGGAATCAGGCGCTTGTCAATTTTTAGGCATATGGAGTTATTGGTTTAATCTTAAAGCTTGTTTATTTGTCTTTCTTTTGATGAAAAAAAATACCCACTTATCTAGAATAGAAGTTGAGATGTTTGCAATTGAAGGATGTGAGGGTAACCTGTTTTTTTTAGGTAAAATTTGCGAGAAAATGGTCGCCAAAGTTTGGTTGCTTCTATAGGTTGGAGTCCTTGAAAACTGAAAATGTACATATTTTGTGCCATTAATCAACATTTTGTAGTAAAATTCACATGGAAATGTATTTTTATATGGACATAAAAGAAAAAACAAAAAAATTGACAAAAATTGCCAAACTGGAGGGAAAATGCCTGTTTTTTTCAATTTCATTATTTTGAGGAGCGCCTGATTTCACCATAATGCCTCACATATGTATGGATGTTTCCCTCTAGGTGTCTGCAAGAACATTGTATCTACAAGCACATAGTCATGATGATGGAGAACCTTCCCGTTACGTCTCAGTCTTGCTCTCAGCTGGGCTGGTTGATCAACAGCATATACTTTAGGTGAGACTAAGTCTGTTAGGATGTGGGTGGTTGGCGGGTGCTCTGGTGTGGTTTGCTTTTTCTTTCCTATCAAACATCTATCGTCCTTATCTCCCCTTCTTCTTCTATATATTTGTTACTGTTTTGTAACACCTCTAATCTTCTGGCGCTCATATGACGTTATGCTGTTGGGAGCGCCGAAAAACCTCTATTAAAACTAAACTAAAGTCTTTTAGGATTGGATTCCTGTCTCTGTGACAAATATTTGTTTATAATTTTTCATATATAAAATAACATTTGTAAAGCGCAAGGAGCATGTTGTAGAGCATGGATCTATGCCCTACACATGCTATTACTATTATTGTTACTATTGATATTATTATTATTGTTAGTATTATCATTACATGGAGGAGATGTGTGGAAAGGGACATGAGAGAGATGAAGCTCACTTGGAACGAGCTCGGAATGATGGCCCAGGACAGAGATAAATGGAAGGAGCTTGTATGTAGCCTATACCCTGCCAGGGGTGAAAGGCATTGATGATGATGATGATATTACTATCATTATTATTATTATTTTATATGAGTAAAGCTCAACTAAACACAAATGGGTCCTTTTGAAAAGAGAGCTCTTGTCTTAGTGGTGAGAGTATACGAATACCAGCAGAGAAGGTACATTGAGGGGAACAAAAACACAGTGGTTAGATATTGAGCATGAATTTATTGAATGTTGAAAAATTGTGTGTGAAGAGTTTGGAGGGGAGGGGGGGGGGGGTTGCTTGGCCAATTTCCACCGTCTCGACCCGCCCTGTGGGTAAAGTCTTTTTTGTTTGTTTTTGTTTTGAAAAGTTGGCAGCTATGGAAATTCTTATCAAGCAGGCACGGCACAGGCCGAAGGGCTAGAACTCATATGGCCGCTGGATGGGAAAAGTAAAGTAAAGTAATCGAGCATGCTGGTGGTTAAGTTTGTTTTAGCTTGTCTCTGTGTGTACTGTGCAGCAATATACCACTGGTTTTCTTTACATCATAAGACTTTGTGTTGGTAAAAGTAAAGTGTTGCTAAAAAAAAGTTAATTCCCCCCCCCCCCTCCCCCCGATTGGTGTTCAACAGTGACGTGACCAAATACTTTCATTTTCAATGCTTACTGAATCCCTAGTTCTTTCCCTTCTTTGATATTTCTGTCTCTCTCTTAAAATAAAAAAAAAATAACGGTTTGTTGAATGGTTTATACATTTTGTTTATCGCTCTTTACTGGCATGTTTGAATTTGATCAAATGGGATGTTCATGGCGTTGCCTGTGATGTTAAATAGAAGTATATTAAATTCTTTTTTTTTTTTTTATGTCTCCAGAACTGAGTCTTTCACAGATAGTAGGGAGCAGTTTTCTACAATTCTCCCTTTGGTGCTGGAGAGGTGTTATCAGATTAATCAAATGGTAGACACGCGGTATAGAGAAAAGGTGAGTGCATATCGTGACCTCTGTGCTTTCTTGTCGTATCTCCGTTTTTTTAAACAGTGAAAATGTGACTTCTTCTTAAACTTTCTCTTTGTTATAAACTGTTTTTACTGTCATTAAAAATGGAGATATGACAAGAAAACACTGAGGTCGCGATATACTGTTTGTTTTGAGATTTCTGGATTTTCTTTCCTACTGACAGATGATGTCAAATTTGTTTATGATAGAATTTACCCCAAATTTTTTAGGAATTTCTTCAATTTTTTAATTGGTGTTAAATAGTATCTGACTGTAGTGTTCAAATTCATGTACTTGTTTCATTTGCGAGAAAATTTCTTTTTGAATGACGCACCTTTTTGCCCCACAGACTAGAGGTGTGTAGATGTTGTCCTTATTTTTCAAGTCTGTCTGAGGGAGGGTGTGTGTCCCTTTAGTACACTTTCCACTGATGTGAATGTGAATATTTCAGCTGATGCTGCCGTTCTTGCGATGTTTGGGCAACTTGATTGGGCAGTCCGAGGAAGTAGCGCTAGAGGCAGGAAGGCAACTTGTGTTTTACGACATCGTCTCTCGTGGTCTCAGCTCTCGGTCAACGGCTTTTGTGCACCAAGAAATTTTGTGGATATTATCAAACTTTATTGGTGAGGCATGGCTGTTTAATGGCTGTATTGTTGTACTTTAGCATTGCTTGATGATTGGGACTGCGATGTTTATAGTAGGCAGAAAGTATTTTCTGCTTTAGGGCAAGGCTTCTTTTTCTTTCGTTCCAACCTTGAGGTAAAGGCTGAAAACTTTTCTTTATGATGCTTGTTCTTTACAGTCAGTTGAGTAGCTTGTTTTCAGCTCAACAATCCTCCTTCTTTCCTATTAAAAATCTATCGTCCTGGTCTCTCCTCCTTCTTTTTTGTGTTTGTTGCTCTCTTGTAACACCTCTAATCTTCAGCACTTATATGACCTTATTGTGTTGCAAGTGCAGTAAAACTCTTACTAAAACTAAACTAAGCTCTACAATCAATTATTCTAACTGTGTGTGGCTTTTGCACCAAGTCATTGTAATGTACAGTTCATGACACTTATTTTTGTTTTGGACATGAATTAAACGTGTGCATATGTAGGTGGTTGGTGAGTACTCTGGTGTGGTTTGCTCCTTCTTTCCTATCAAACATCTATCATCCTGATCTCTCCTTTTCCGTTTTTGGTGTTTTTCACTCTCTTGTAACACCTCAGGTCTTTGGTACTTTTTATGACCTTATAGCTTTGCAAGTGCTGTAAAACTCTGACTAAACTGAAACTGTGTGTGGCTTTTGCACCTGGACATTGTAAAGTGCAGTTCATAACTCTTTATGTTTTGGTGTGGATATTGCAATGCCTGAAATATTGATTTAACCCTCTCCGTACGCCCTGGGGTCATTTTGTACCTCCGCGGTTGTATTCTTTACATTTTAGAATACTTCTAGTCCGAAGATCTCTTTTAAACTTTCAGTATTTCTCAAAAAATCATTTTGCTGTCGTACTGATCGGATTAACGAGTAAATGTCTGCTTTGGAAAGTGGAGGCACAGATTTCCCCACATCGTATGGATACAATAGTAAAACACGACGTATGGATAGGGTTAATGAGGTCGTTTTGTTTTCTTTCAGTGGAGCCTAGCTGTTGTGTCCTTGTGTTGTGTCAGCCGTCCCTTCTGACGAACATTCTGAACCTGTGCCCAACGCCAAACGTAAAAGTGTGTGCTGCTGTGAGTAATGGTCATTGCTTTCTTGTATGTTGGAGGAACATTTGGTGGAACTTATTTTCTTTCAATTGTCACCAGTTTGTTTGAAAGCTTTTGATGTGATTTTAAAAAATGAGATTTATAGAAAAAATGATTTTTTAAGATGAGATAAGATAAGATAAGATAAGATGAGATAAGATAAGATAAGATAAGATAAGGTGCTACTTTATTGTCCCAGTGGGAAATTTTTCTTGACTGATCAGAAATGGTAAGAGCGTTTGTAGATATACATGGAATTTAAATCGTATATTAATGTCATAAAAATTCAGTATGAAGACTATGTGTATATGAATATATGGGAGGGGGGGGGAGGGAGAATGTTATCATGTTAGTTCTGATATATGTTACTGAACATGTTTTACGTTAAAATCTGAGGTGTAGATTTCTACTTGACAATTTTTAGTGTTGATCATGTTATTGCTCTTAATGACTTTATTGTATTATGAGGATTTGAGTTGACTTGAGAGTATTTTTTTCTCTCCCGCACCTACCCCGAAATCTTTTCAGGCTTTACACATTGTAGAAAGAATGACCCACATCTCCACGCAAATGTCGCAGTACCTCTTTGATCAAGAAGTTCTCATGAAAGTTTGTCCCGTCCTCTCCTGCGGTGAATTTGAGCTGGTCGAAAAAGCTCTGGACATTTTCATAGAGCTGCTTGAGACCACGTCAAAAGTTAGTGTCCTTCTCGTTTGTCTTGTGACCTCTTTTATTTGTTTGCTGAGCTTTTGTTTATCAGTAGCCATTTGTGTCATGACGTGGTGGAATCAGGCTCTCGTCAATTTGTGGGCAAATGAAGTTATCGGTATCTTCTTAAAGCTTGTTCATTTGCCTTGCTTTCAATGAAAAAAATATCCATTTATCTTGAATGGAAGTCGAGATATTTTTGATTTGAGGAGGTGAGGTCACCTGGTTTCAGAAGTAAAATTAGCGAGAAAATGGCCGTCAAAGTTTGATGACTTCCATAGCTTAAAAGTCCTAGGAAACTGCAAATTTACATTTTCTGTGGCTTTAATCAACGTTTTTCCGTAAAATGTACTCAGAAAAGTATTTTTGATTGGACATGCAAAGTGGTGAGACAAAAATCCCCCCTCCCCCAATGTCCAAACTGGCTGAGAAATGCTGATTTCACGGATTTCATTATTTTGACGAGTGCCTGATTTCACCACGATGCCTCACATTTAACTGTTATTTAATAGTAAGTCGTGATTGAATCTGATGTGTTTTATTAACCCCTTCAATGCCGCAGGTAAATAGAAACGAGTTAAACAGTGAAGTACGGATTGCTACAGTTTTTGACCCTTTACTTGATGAGGTTTTTGTGCTGTATTGGACTTGAAGTAGTCATTGGTTATTCTTTGACACATAATGGGAAAGAAATGTGACGCTGACAAACTGACACTGCTTTTTAACCCTATCCGTACGCCCTTGGGTCATTTTGTACCTCCGGGGTTGTATTCTTCACATTTTAGAATACTTCTCTAGTGGGAAGATCTCTTTGAAACTTTCAGTATTTCTCAAAAAATCATTTTGACAGACTGCTATGCAAAGCGTACGGATTGGATTAACGAGTAAATTTCCTCTTTGGAAAGTGGTGGCACAGAGTTCCCCACGTCGTATGGATACGATTGTAAAACACGACGTATGGATAGGTTATTCGTCGTGTTTTACTATCGTATCCATACAACGTATGGATAGGGTTAAAAAGCCCTATATATATAGATGTTTTTCCTGTCTCTGTTGTAGTTCATAGTGCTGGACCTGAGGTGAGAAACTATGCCGCATAAGAGTAAGACTTGCAAAGTCAGAACAGTGGATGGTTGGCGGGTGCTATGGTGTGGTTTGCTCCTTCTTTCCTATCAAACATTTATCATCCTTGTCTCTCTTTCATTTTTGAGTTTGTTACTCTCTTGTAACACCTCTAATCTTCGGCTTTTATGTGACCTTATTGTGTAGCAAGTGCTATAAAGCTCTAACTGGTAAAAAAACAAACCAGAAGTCACAAAAGATTTTTGATTGGCCTACATTACTTTGATGAAAAATACTTTCTGCGTATGAATTACTTTTTTTTTCTGAACCTGATTTGGTCCACAGTTTAATCTCCCCCTTTGGAATTTGACTTTCTTCTCTTCCTTCAGGATAGAGAAGACTCCCTGAAGGAGTTGACGGAGACTCCCTTGCAGATGTTGCTCTCCCCTGACGTCCCTGACAGCGTCTCGGCCAAAGCAAAGCGCACGCTCAGTTTATTGTGACCTTTTATTTTATTTATATTATTTCTCAGGACTGCCGTCATTTTTAAAAATACAGTATATACGGTTTTTGCAATTTTACAGAAGAGTAAAAAAAACCTTGAATGTTGTTACCAGGAAAACTATTTGCAACCATCACAAGTCAATATTTTTAAGAATACAATTTTGATGATAACTTTCATATTGTCTTTAAAGCAAATGCTGTTTTCTTGGTAGCAACGTTCAGTTTTTTGGCTCTCCTGTAAAATCGTAAAAATTTATATGTACTGTGTGATGCCTCATTATAGTTTGGATACACATGGATAGTTCAGCACTACAACCGTACACAGAAATCAGCAACCGACCATGTTGGATGTTTATGACATAACTGAATCTTAACTTTAATTGTTCATCCTGAAGAGTACAAATGGCGCTCAAATGACCTTATATAGTTGCGAGCACCGTAAAACCTTACTAACTAAAAAAAAAAGAAAAAAGAAGAGTACCAAATTAATGAATTCAAACAAGGAAACATAACTACGACAATTAACGATAGTGAAGCAATCACAGTTATTGCTCATTTAAGAGATATTATTACAGAGATACATTACGTACTGTACTTTTCAAAATGACGTCAGAGGAATGTCACTACGCTCATCATTGTTCCTCTCTCCACCCTCAGTCTGTGAGACTTTCTTCTTTCCAGGCCTGGACTGTTTGGTTTCCCGCCAGCAGCTCAGCGTTTAGCTTTAGCCTGTTTGCATGACATTTTTCTCAAATTTTTGTCGTTTGTGCTTTGTTGGATAACGTCAATGATAGTACATAACAAGATGGGCCACTTCTCTCTTTGAACCAATTAAAAAAGTGTCCTCAAAATTTGGTGGCGCCCTCTTCACAAAAGCGCACTCTTTGCGAACAGAGTTACCCTACTTGAGTTTTTAAAAATCAAAGTGAAACTAGCATGTTTTGGAATAAATTTCGGAAGAACGCTTTTTAAAAATGGTTACGCTGACAAAAAAACTCTTCCGGAGGAAAGGGTTATGGTTTTCTTCGTTTAATTTGACTTTAGAATGAAAGGCGAGAGGTCATTAAAATAAAAAAAACCCCCTAAAACTACGCACTGAACGTACCCGAACTGCTGATGAACAGCAGTCGATCTGCGCACGCAAGGAGGTGCTATTCCTATTCTTCTTCTGGAAAAACGAAAGAGAGCTTCAAAACAGACTGCAGCGCCATCTGAAGCAAAGAGCATACTTCCTGCGGACACTTTTTTGGCTGAGTGGCCCATCTTGTTATGTACTATCATTGATAACGTTCAGTTCTATCTTTTGCCGGTTATTGTCCTTTTTTGCATGCTGATCTTGCCATCTCACTCTTTCTCCCTCTGTCTTCTCTTTCTCTTTCTCCCTCTCTTCCCGTCCCTCTCCTCTCTTCCCTCTCTCTCTCTTTCTCAGTGTGTCCTGATGGTTGTATCAATTTTTAAGTGACTGGTCTTGGTGGAGAAGAAGAGAAGAGAGTAAACCAAGAAAAAGGAAGAGGTACATGCCTATTGTTGAATTCAGACTTCTTTGGGGCTGGTTCAACACCTTCACAGAGGCTTCATGGGGAAATGAAACCCAGGTATCTCTCTTATGAAACTTGGCTGCATTTTATTAAACAGGTTATGAAAGTGGGCGGTTGGCAGGTGCTCTGGTGTGGTTTGCTTCTTCTTTCTTATCAAACATCTATCGTCCTTATCTCTCCTCCTTTTGTATGTTTGTCATTCTCTTGAAACACCTCTATTCTACTGGTGCTCATATGACCTTATGCGGTTGCGAGCGCCGTAACACCTCTACTAAAACAAAAGAAGAAGAGAAGAGAAGAGAGTAAACCAAGAAAAAGGAAGAGGTATATGCCTTTTGTTGAATTCAGACTTCTTTGTGAACTGTTCAACACATTCACAGAAGCTTCATGGGGAAATGAAGCCCAGGTATCTCTCTTATGAAACTTGGCTGCATTTTATCAAAAAGGTACTGAAAAATGGGCACAAAATTAAGCCAATATTTACCAGGAAAACACCACTGTAACTTGTAACCTGACACATTTTTAGGACAGACGTTCGTTCGCTTTATTTTATCGATATAATAATTTGTCGTGCATTGTGGTGAAATCAGGTGCTTGTCAAAATAATGAAATAAAAAACCCAGCTTTTTTCTGGGTTTTGGGCAATTTTGTTTTTTCGAATTTTTTTGTTTTTGTTTTTTTGGGCTCAACACTTTTTATGTCCTTTAAAACATGTTTCTGTCTGCATTTTTCTTTAAAAAAAACTTTGATGAAAGGCACAAAAAATGTAAATTTGCAGTTTTCAGAGACAATTAAGCCTTGAAAAGTCACCAAATGCTAGATCTAGCCCCCATTTTCTTGCTAATTTTACCTTTGACACTGGGTGACCCTGTTCTCCTTCAATCGCAAATATCTGGAATTCTATTCAGGAGAGATTGGTTTTATTTCTCCAAAATCAAGATATGGACAAGTTTTAAAATGATAAAATTATACCAATAACTCAAAATGCTCAAAAATTGACGAGCTCCTGATTCCACCGCATCATGACGCGTACATTTAGGACAGATGTCCTCTCTACTTTATTGACTTTACCCTATCTGTAGTTCCTGGGGTCATTTTGTACCCCTGGGGTTGTATTCTTCACATTTTTGAATACTTCTAGGCTTCTAGT